AGTGTCAAGCATGGCAAGTGATGGACATACAGGGGTCCGGAAGGCTTAAAGCCAGCATGAATACAGATCATTTTGATCGGTGGAAGAAAGGATGTATAGAAAGGACATTTTTAAAAACAGCACTGTGTGTTTTGGCTGTTAAAAATAGGGACTGTATTATTGGCCCACTTGTGAACAAAAACAGTGAGGGATTGGCTCGCAGCTCCCCGTCACTGTCTCTACTATCTTCTCTCCTCACCCAAAGCAGGCCACCCATTCACTCACAGCCCACCCCGCCCTTCTTACAATTTTTTTATATTCTCTCCTCAATCTCTTTATTTTCCTTCCCCTCCTCTTTCCCTCCACTTAGAACGACGCAAGGAGGGGTGAAGAAGAGGGTAATTAAAATGGGGATGCTGTGCAGTGAAATGAAGCCAGTGCAAAGACACACCTCATGCCTAAGAGATGTAAACATGAATGGAATAAGACAAAAATAGGTGAACAATATATTGTTTTGTGATTTTGATCAAATGGTTTTTACACAGCTGACTTTGATGAACTACATACCCCTCTCTCCCTCACACACACACACACACACACACACACACACACACACACAAGGAACAAAGCAGCAGTACAGAGATCTGATTGATGTGCATAGCTCCAGGACAACTCAAGAAACAGGTGAGATAGTGACAGCTCACAAAAAGAAGAGGGGAAATCAGATCCCAGTAACTGTACCATGGTTGCTGCAGAAAGAGGGATTGGCAAGACCACGGAGGGTGCAGATGGAGGAGTCACCTTGAGGGAGAAGAGGGGAAGGAGGGAGGGAAGGGACACAGTGGCAATGCCAATTTATTTCTTTTCAGGTCATAAGCTTGTAGATATTGAGAAACACACTTGATGAGCAATTCAACTGTATCCTAAAGGAGTCAGGAATTCATTGTACAAAAAGGTTATAACGTATGATAGCTACAAGAGAAAATCCTGTAATCCTGAGAAAGGCTTCACAGGTGTCAGTTACTGTTTGCCCTCATTTTCTGTTTGTGGTACAAACCACAGCCGGTCTGTTCAGTGGTGACTAAACACTGGAGTTAGTAGGATTCTGGTCTTTTTCTCCGCGGAGGTGTGGGTGGAAAATGAAATAATATTGATTTAACTCTCAGACACAGCTTTATAGATTGATTTTCACAGTAGAATATAACTATAACTATAATAAGTGTGCTTCTTGGCAAAACAAAGTTTAGCACTTATTCACAACAACGCTGTCCTTATCGCTCACCTGGGCTACAGTTGATCACAGCTAAAGAAAATCATGTTTGCGCTTTGTAGTGAGATGTTTTAGAAGGATTCAGACATTCAGAGTAAAGTAAGTGGGCAGGATTAATAAAGTCAAATAATATTATATATACCTTTTGGCATGGATGACCAGAGTTTGTTTCAAAGGGTTCTTCTTTAAATGGTGTCAGGTGGTTATGTTATTTTACCTTTATTTTTAAATCCTGAAGAGGATACCATTTCCCCTCATTAAACAACAGTGACATCTGTTGGTGGAGTACTGACACAGACTCAAAGGATAAGTCTGCTAATATTATATATTTTTCTTATTGTCAACAAAAGGAAAGGATTGAAAACAAAATCTTATTTCTCTGTTCTACACACCTCCACCTCCAAAGATTATTTGGAGGTGGACCACATCTATTAAGACCACATCAGTGAGTAACTCTATGGTATGTTCACTTATATGTTCAAATTAGCAGCCTTACTTGTTTAAATCTACCATGCCTGATCTTTAGAAGCATATATGTTGTTTTGGGAGATACCATGCATTAAAACACTTGATGGGGCAACAACTGATGGCGGGAACTGGAGAGTTGAGATGCTTTTTTCACAGCAGGCATTTTGACTTGTAGGAAAAACACAGGTGTTACTAATAACATTCACGATGGCTCGGTTCTATCCAAGTGTCCCAGTAAGCGTCATTCATTTAATTATTTACACTTCAGAGTTCGAAAAATTGACACTTTATAAGATTCACAAAAACCTGAGTCTAAAAGAATGAGTACGGATGAATTCAGGTAATGACTGCTAATTAATCTATTTACTAGATAACTCCTGAATTAAGGGTTAGTGGATAAAACAGACTGCTATGTTAAACAACCAGTGCTTTGCTAGATATCTGTTGTTATCTAAATGTATGCATAATAACCAGTTTTTTAACACATCATTCCTGATAAACTGCTAAATGACATTTAACCAACCAATGGACTCGTCATGTAAATATCAGTAGTTTGCTTGTCCCGTCAGTTAAGGCACTGCATTATACTGAGTTTTTATTAAGAATACATCATTATTTCATGATTACCGTTCCATTAGTTCCTTGCTGCATTACTTTGATCCTCCACTCAGAGTAATTCAGGAACTGATCATTAGCGGTTTGTTAATTAATTTAATTTCTGCATTATTCCATATTAGTTAATTGATAACTAATTCAGATTATGTAAAGTGAGGGTGCACATAACATACAAGGGTAAGAAGGAGAAAGCTCAAAGGGTGCTAATGCCAGTATGAGAAGTCCAATGTGTATCAACAATAAACAAGAAGGGAACATCTTTCATGTTTCTGAAAAAGGGTTTTCTTCAAGTGCTTCTACACGCATAACAGTGTTTTGAACTAAATTAAACTCAAGGGCGATTGAGTTTTTTAAAATTTGTTTCTGAGTGACAACTGCGATCAATCTGCTGAATATAAAGACAGAACAGTAAGTGTAATTGTCAGTGTGGGAGTATAAAAACAGAAGAGATTTCTGGCAGGTATTTGAACAGAGATAAAGCATCAATACACCCCCAAGACAGCAGAGGATACATTAACATATGGCAAGGTATTACAAGCTGTAAGAGGAGAGAACAGTGTACCTCACAGTATGAGGCTCTGTGTGGTTTGTTAATGGTCACGAGGAGCTGAGGGAGTATTAGGAATGTGTTTTAGGTGTGGCTCTGCAGAGGAGACCCTTTAATCTTTAAATGCTTCATGTTTTAACGTGCCCTTGAATATATGTGTGAAGGTGCATTAGGTTTGCATCACTGATTATTGGGAATTATGGCAATAAAACCTTTGTTGAGAAGACCAAGGACGCTGCATTTCTTGAGTGCTGACAAATGAAACACACATTGAGCTGGTGCTAATTTCTGAGCATACACACATAAACAAACTCTACTTTTCCATTTCAACTGAAAATATTGTATTAAGCCACTTTTGAAGGAATGGAAATTATAGTTTAAAGTACTGTGTGTGGTAACAAAATCATTTTAGTCCACAAATTGTCACATAAAAGCATGCTTATTTGTTCATTTTTTGTTATTGCTGTCCTTATTTACAATGAATGGTAGGTTCATTTATGTAAGTAATGCAGTAACTAATCAAATCAATTTCCATCACCACTTACCAACATTGTAATTTTGACTGAATTCAGGAAGGGCGGACAGACATTCTTCCTCGTTTAAGCACCTTAATTTGTCCCTCTGTCAGTTAAACATATTTACTGGGCAACTCCTGGACACAAGAGCTGTAAGCATCTCATGTGAGGCATGTTTATTTGCTTGTGATTTATGTTCTAAGGTGTGTACGTTTTGAGAAGTATGCCTTGTATTTATGTCATGTTTAACAGAGTGAATGCCTAAGTGACCAATTTGCTTGGTTGTTTTATGTCAGGCAAACATTAGCCTGACATCTTATTTAATCTGCTATTATTGTGATGTTTGGTTTTGATACAGCAATTCCCACAATCCAAGAATAGTAACCTTATCATTATGGGACCCCATTAGGGATTTCAGCGTTATTGCACCTGTAATGTTTGTATCATATGTTTATCACATTCTGTATTTTAATAGATGTCACCAAACGTGGTGACACCACTATTTAGATGGTGTCAAAACAAAATGGTGACCCTTTAATAGCCCGGATAACAAATTTGCAGGGTATACACATACCCATCAACATTGGGTATACCCACTTCTAAATCACCTCTGATGCTCATCATTCGGTAGTGATTTTTTCCCCCCTAGGATGGCAAAAGCATTACATAGTTTATGAGTGGATGGAGTAAGGAATATTTCACTCAAAATGCATAATTATGTATTAGTAGCACATTATAGCCTGTGGGCCAGTACTGACTCTTCTGTGGATAATGCAGAAGTTAAATGATAGTGTCTAAATACTGCTGGCCCACAGTGAGGTAAATATGCAAGATTAGTGTTATATTTCACTGTTTACAACACATGAGGTTAATCCTTTGCTGTATGGACCACTTTAAATATAAATGAGGGCATAAATTAATATAGTAGGTATAGTCACTTCTCCACGCACCACAAGGCAACTGGCTGTAACTTTCTGATTTTGTGTGCATGCGTGATCTTGTTGTATATGTTTGGTAATCTTTATTTTTTAATCTGACAAAATGTGATGAAACATGTAAACAGATATTCAGGTGGTCACACAATTTTCAGTCCTTCCAGAAAAATGCGGAGTTTTTTTGTGATTGTTGCGGGCCTTGATTATGCGGCTTTCTTAAAAAATACGATGGAATATGCGGGATATTTATTTTAAGCGTAAAATGCGGGGATTATGAAATCATGCAAGCCCCCGCATATTTTGGCAATTTGTGCGGCGAAAGTGCGGCGTATTTGAAAAAATGCGGCTGATGATGCATTGAATTATGCGATCGCATAATCGCGTTTTTGTGGAGGGACTGGATTTTTAATGAATACAGAATTGAGTAATATAACACCGGCCAGCAGGGGTCCTCAGTGAGCCGTATAAGAACAGAGGGCACAGTGAATCTCTCTTATTCACTGTTGTTTTACTTACCCAGCAACTATCTGCCAAGCTCGACGTTGTTGTTGTTGTTGTTTTTTTTTGCCTGAAAAGTAAAATACAACAAATAAACAGTTGTTTACCATCAACCGTTAAAAACAAACCGTCCCGAGTATTCCTGTGACTTCACCAGGATGCGCGCGCATCTTGGCAACGGAAGTCGAAGTTTGTTGCTGCCGATAACTTCCTCAACCGAAGCGAAACACACTGAAACCCAACTGGGGTTGTTTTTTGTTTGTTTGTTTGTTTTTAGAGTAAAATGTCGGCCTGTTGTGTGTCTGGCTGTAAAAATCGACACTCCTCAACCAGCAAACTCAAACTGTACAGAATACCGTCCGGATATCGGCCGTTTCAGGCCAACCGGAGACGGTTATGGCTACAAGCGATCCGAGAAGTGAACGGCAGCACCGAGGAGCTCAAAGGCAATGCTCGTATTTGTGGCGCTCATTTTATATCAGGTAAACACAACAGTGCTTGTATCTTACTAACATGATACACCAGCTTGCAAGAGTTGGTTACGGCAGATAAATGGTGGAAGACGAGCTCTGAAGTCGATGTTTTTTTCCTCATGTTTTTATAGGGGAAGCGTCCATGGACCATGATAGTCCAGACTTTGTGCCTTCTGTGTTTACATCCACTGAACACAGCCTGAGCGCCAAGAAAAAGGCCAAATGGTAAGAAATGTGCATTCATGTTGTTATGTGGATCATCTGCAAGGACATACTTTAATTTGTGATCATGTGCAGTTCGCCAAACCCCACTCTGTGCCTCTTATAGTAACACACAGGGGTAACATTAGCATGCTGCCTGGCAGGCAAACCAGCAACAATACAATATGACACAATCTTAACATTATGTTAAAATGTACATATGATTTTATTGGAATCTACTTTAATCCCTCATGTGTTGTTACCTAAATCTGGACCCTTGTTTTTTTTTTTGGTTGAGGGGGTTATTTGAGCTCAAGACACTTTTTTTTTATGTTCAATTACATAATTAATTGATTGGTTTATTGTCAGACAATTAACCATTTAGATTTTTCAAGCAAGAATAACAAAAAAGTCTCTGGTTTCAGCTTCTAAAATGAAAAGATTTGCTGCTTTTTTAATTTATCATGGTCAGCTGAATATTTCTGGGTTTTTGAACTGTTAGTCACTCATATTTAAAGTGCTGCAATAGGAAATTAAAACAGTCACATAACACATTTTATTGGGATAGAACATTTACATATATGCTGTATATATGGTCACTACTTTACAGTGTGAGGTTGTCTTCCACTTAAAACTTTACATTACGTTTTAGCCAGCAGCTGACCGCTTTAACTTCTCAGTGCATTGTCACAGCCTCGCCACGCTCAGATCAATTGGTTTTCACAATTTCTTTTTTTTGTCAAAGGTTTTACGGTCGTAGAAAAAAGCGCCGTCGTACAGCCAATGCTGAAACAAACAGAAGAACATCTCCACCTCAAGTTGATTCTCCTGCGGACCTTCAGTCCTGTGTTTTGATGGAAAAAACAGAGACACCATCATCTCCATCGGGTCCAAAGGTAGCAACTACTTCTTTTATTTTCTGCTTTTAGAAAACATAAAATCATTATATATTATTTTGTGTTATTATTGTGTTAAGAAGGCATACAATTTTACTCAGGGGCGATCTTTTCTATATGTGTCTTTCTTAGGAAGGAGAGACTGAAACCGAAAGCAAAACAATCAAATCACAAACAACATCCAGCCCACACAAGGCAGCACCATCATTTAAAGTACCAGCAGGCATCCCAAAACTCAACAAAAGTGCCATTGTGCGCCTAAAACCTGTATTTGTACCAGCAGGTGGGTATTTGTGTGAGCTGTGCAATCAGAAGTTCCCCAATGCATCACAGCTTGTAAAACACAATCAGCTGCATGAAGAAAAAAGGTCCTTTATCTGTGAAATTTGTGGAAAGCGCTTCACAAGTCATGCAGATTTAACTGAGCACGTGTGTGTCCACGAGCCTTCCTTTCCGTGCAACATGTGCGATCGATCTTTCACTTCAAGTCACAACCTCAAGCGTCACAAACTGCTGCATGTCAAGGATGGCAGGAAGTGCGGCAGGTGTGGCGTGCTCTTCTGTCAACGTCATAATCACATTTTATACCTGCCGCAGACTGAGTCCGAACAGGAATTAGGCAGTGATGTGATGCCAGAAGACGCTCCGCTGGAGAGCGCAGAGCCAAGCAAGACTGCTGGCCTTGATGACGATGCTCAGAACGCCATGACTGTAACGCCATTGGAGTCAACTACTGCTTTGCCTGCACCCCCTAACCCTGTATCCGAGACCTGTAATGCCCTACCTCCAGCCTCATACACAAGAATCTTATCAGAGATCCCTATACCAGTGTTAATAAAACCTTCCCGTGTGAAACGCCAACCTCCGCCAGTACCCAGGTACTCAAGGAAAGATTATCTTGCAACCGATGTTCAGCCCCATCTCCCTCAACATCCCGAACTCCCACCCTCGCTGAAGATCTTTTCCCCACAGTACCTCACCTCTGCGTTACTTGAGGTTAAAAGAAATTACGACTACATTTTAAGCAAACCAAGGGATGTTAAGAATAAGATGGATATTGTGAAGGAGGAACAATGTGAGCTGCTGCTGATTTCTCCAGATGAGAAAAGTGTTGAGCACATCAAACAGGAAAGAACTGCTTATGACCTGGAGATTGTGCTCTGATCTAAACAGCAGGGGGAAATGTATCACTACTGTGTTTTTTTGTCTGTTTTTTTGCCGTTTTGCTTTGTTTTGACGACAGTAGAGAGAGACAGAAAAGGCAGGGGAGAGAGAGGGAATGACATGCAGCAAAGGGCTGGACTTAAACGTAGGCTGCTGTGGTAAGGACATGTGTTTATGCGCTGCCGGGGCGCCCAAATATGTCACTTTTAAAAACGCGTGGTGAACGCGTCTGGCATTTTATTTCACTACAGTTTTACCGTCAGTTAATTGATAAAGCTATTAGGACAATTTGTCAAACACATTATCATTTGATAGATAGATCCAAGAGCTGAAACATCAGCTCATTTATGCTTATTGTACTGCATATTATGCCACACTTTTGTTGTGTGTATTGCATGAATGTTTGTTTAGTGTTCATATGATATGTCTACTATGAATGTATTGCTGTATGCTTCAGTGCCTACTTTCTCTGTCAGTTAACTAATCTGATTCAGCACACTAGTATATTTTTTAACCTAAGTAACTGAACTCACAATGCTGCTATTTTTATTTAGTAAAGGTTACTTCACTGACAAGGTGAAATCTTTTTTCCACTGTACTGTTTGGTAAATAATGCTGTTCTGTGAGTAAGAGGGATCTCTAACTGGCCTGAATTGTAAAACTGTGCACCAGGTGGCATTTGGACTGCAGGCTATATTCCGTACTTTGCAGTTTGTGGGGTAATAATCAGTTTAGTCAGTAAACAAATGCAGATCGCTTCAAATGATATCATGAATATCATTATCTAGCATCATATCTGAAAAGAATTGTCCATTAATTCAGTTTTCCTATCTACCTCAGTGACTGAGAGCCACACAGAAACTGTAGTTTTATATTATAGAAATATGTTTGCACTAAATATTATGTCTTTTCCCCTCCATGTAAACAAATATACTGTAGCTGTATTCCAGTATTTCGTGTACATACGTATTATATCTTTAAGTTGGCCTGTGTGTTCTAAAATCTGGAAGTGGCAGAAATCAGAGTGGTGAACTAAGAAAGGAAACTACATTTCCGAGACTTATTTTTCCCATAACACCAAGCACCATGTTAAAAGGACACTACTTCCCTACCTGCTGCTGTTCTGTAGCGGACACTGACCCCCAGGACTCTGTAAAGGGAGGAGTGAAACATATTCACATTACTGTGTGCTTCTTTGGATGCAGCACACTCAAACACACTACAGCTACAGGTTTAAAAGTGGTTGTTAACATATTGTCATCTTCTTGTGTCTTTTTTAAATCAACTATATATGGATTTCAGTCACTACAGTCAATGGATGATGATTTTTATAACAATAAATGTTTTCTTTGCCTCATACTATTACCACTGACATTAAAACTCTCTTTTTAAACCAAACATAGGTCCAAAGGACATGCTGTTGCCTAAAATAGATAAATTGGAGTTGAGGAACCCTAACATTCAAACTGTATTGTGTCTAATCTTCACTTGGATCCAGTAACGAGAGATGAAAGAAATAGTGAAATGTATCTAAACAGAAATATAGTCTGTACATAACAATGCATGCAGAAATAGAATGACCATATTTTATTTGCTGGCCTGTTTTTTAACCTATGAAATTATGGGGGGATTGGTTCTGTGGCCCAAAGGATTTGCAGGCCAAAGAGATGTATCAGATGTGTCCTGATGGTGGCACTAGAGACATTGTTAAATTGACCCAAAACTGTCTGCCTGCTTCACTTGGACCGACCTCTTATCAGTGTGTCATATTGCATTAACTGGCCAGTTTGTTCTTTGAGCTGCGATACAATCCCATTGCAGAAAAAAGCCCCCAGTACAATACCACTAAGGTGCCTTCATGCTTTCATTCGAGGAGCCTTTTTCTAACTATATTTGTGGTTGCTAAAGGATCTGTTTACTTAACTACTAAAGCGTGGTTTAGAAGTAAAACAATGATTTAGTAGAAGCAAAAGGTTTATTTGGTTGCATGATAATTATTTTAGAGTGAGTTAAGAAGAATGTGATAATGCGCCTTTTTATAAACAAATAAGTTCTGATTAAGCTTTGATTAATAAATCATTTACTAATGTCTATAGATTGGTTACAACTTTTGAACTGCTAGGTTGTGATAAATCTCTCCAGCAGATGTTTTTGCCTCTTCCACATCTGGACCAAAATAATGTTAAAAAAAATCCCTAGAAAAATGGAATTACGCTTTATTACAGACATTTAAAAGTGCAGAATTGATAGTTTATTAGAACGTTGGGCCCTTTTCTCTTCACACTATATGACTTACAAACAACTGCAGACCTGTTGGCTTATTAAAGTGGGAAACTCATCACAACCCTTTAGTTTATCAATGACTTTGTTAACATTTATTACTGCAGAACTGGTTAATTATTAAGAAGTAAACCCCATTAACCTTTAATAAATGAGAAGGAGAAACAACAGCCAAAGGCGTTTTCAGAACCTGGTGTTTAATATTAGATTTAAACATTGTTCCTATTAATGGCTTATTACTGAACTATAAACATTAGTATTTTTTCAAATCCATTAATAAAGCAATATGTTATAACTTAGCTACTGCTTGTATGACATACAATTACAGTTTTATACAGAATTGTGGTTTTAACAGATACAAATAAATATACTGTTATTTATAAAAAATATAAATAACAGTCACATTGATAAGGAACAGTTTTTGCTATAACTTTCAGTATCTTAAAGACAATACATATAAATTGTTTTCTGTTCTTACATTTGAATTTGTGGCTAAAAAAGAAAAAGTAGGTTATGTGTTAATTGATTAATAGAGTTCATCCCTCCAAAACCTTGTTGTACCACATCTCCTCCAGATGAAGAGTTCACAGTCTGTCTGACTCCATCTGCACGCTGTTACATCCTATTGGTCAGAAGGAACCAGTAATGCTGGGCGCTGACTGTGATTGGCCGCGTTGACTATCACTTATATCATAACGACGGCAGCGATTGGCCGACGTGTCCGGACCCCGAGCAGCAGATTGGTTGATATATCTCTCGCCTGGCTGCTCCGGTGACAGGCAAGTGGTGCTGATGCTGTGACAATGGGAGTCATCCAGATAAGCAGCATCTGGACCGAGTGTGCTTAAAAACACAGCGGCGGCGCAACTGTGACTGTAAACGGGACGGGGAAGCAGCTGGGTGGAGAAACACGGGGAGGAAGCTCCAGCTGCTGCTCTCACAGGGTAAGTTTTACCCCCACGGAAAACAAACTGACATGCCCGGGGCGTCCAGTTAGCCGTTTCCTGCATGGGGTGGGGGGTGGGCTTTGGTTGGAAGGGGGGGGGGGCAGCTCTCAAGTACGTTCGTAAAATCCCGCTGGCTAGGTGAAGCAAGGTTAGCGACCTGTACCGGAGTTCCCGCATGAATCTGAAGATGCTTTGGTACAGAGCTGAACAGGCTGTACTCTTAATGCAGCGGTTGTAGGAAGGCAGCTGTGAGTCAACTCATCCCCCCTTTTGGTCGACTGCATTGCGGAGAGAGCATGCCTTTGCAGGATAGTGTCTACTATTCTTAACCCTGTCTTGTAGATAAGTCTTCAATACACCAACGTTGAAGGTTATTTTATTGTGCTGGGGTCTTCATGCCTTCTCACATCCTGAGATTTCATTGTGTCACATCATCATCATTCTCATGGATCCGGTTTGATGCATTTGTTACTAAATTAACATGTGTACTATTGTATATTTAGAATAAAATTAGCAATAAGATATTTAATTATCAGCACTGAAACTCTTAACAGCCATTGCATGGATTTGCACAGATTTGTAGTGAGGTGCTGTGCATGCTGGGATTTGAAGTTTGAAGTATGTTGACAGTGATGCAGTCTGTGCTTGCCTGTGTGCTTAATTGCAGCACACATACAGTATGTTGTACTCACGCATTATAGCCGTACATATATATATACATATATGCTGACACTGGTTATACAGATTCCATATTTCTTTGCTGTGAAAATGCAGAGTTTGGCTTCCCTCTGCTTTTTAAGTCTAGTGATGGGAGCATTCAGCCGGCAGAAGTTTTTCCAGGAGCTTGCTCATGGCTGCCTGCTGCCTACAGCTCAGCAGGGCCTGGAGCAGGTATGGCAGCTGCTGGTTATCTGCCTGCTGTGTCGGCTCCTCTGGATGTTGGGTGAGAGTCCAGTTATTTTGTGCCCACTCAGTGTTATTCGTCCTTACATATGGCTTGCGTCATCATAATCACCTGTGCTGTACTTTTACTATTTCTGTTTCTCGCTATGTCAGGCCTCCCCTCTTTTGTGAAACACTTGGGCACAGTGGCGGGAGGTTTCTACACTCTCTACCTGTTCTTTGAGCTTCATATGATCTGGGTGGTCCTTCTCAGCCTTCTCTGCTACCTCTTCCTCTTCCTGTGCCGCCACTCTACCATCCGAGGCACCTTCCTCTCCATCACTGTGCTCATCTACCTGCTGCTAGGGTAAGAGAGTCCCCCCCAGACACCTGTCAAGTCTGTGTTTGAAGTGAACACTTCTCAAAGTCAGTTGTTGCAGTGAAGTTGCATTTGCGGCAAGAACTACATCAAAACTGAAACTATTCTTATCCCATTTTATCAGAGAGCTGCACATGATGGACACCACCAACTGGCACAAAATGAGGGGTAGGCCAGGCATCTTTTCTTTCAGCAGCAACATTTGACACATTTCCGCTAGATTAAAGCAGTAAATGTGATTATTTTAGGTTTACCTTTATATTTAGCATTGGTTATCTGACCATTTAAGTGCTGCTGTTGTTGTCCAGGTTCACAGATGGTGGTTGCCATGAAAGCCATCTCTCTGGCCTTCGATTTGGACAGAGGTGTGGTGACCAGTGTACCCTCACCCATTGAGTTCATGGGCTATATTTACTTTGTGGGCACAGTCATCTTTGGTCCCTGGATCAGCTTCAACAGCTACAAAGAAGCTTTAGAAGGACGTAAGCTGGTAAGTGTGATACAGTATCTCTTAAGTATTGAAGAAGGTGCGGGTGAGGATTATTTAAAAGGTTTATCCTGAGACGAGCCGTTAACTGTTCAAATCTTTGGCTCCTCTCTTCCTCAGAGCTTTTCGTGGCTTTTAAAAGTGTCTGTTAGCTGGGTGAAGAGCCAGGTCTGCCTTGTTATTTCCAACTGTGTGGCACCCTACCTCTTCCCTTACTTCATACCGGTATATGGAGACAAGCTACTACGAAGGTGAGTGGAACACAGAGATACGTAAACAAGTCAAAATCCCTGTTTATCCTCTGTCTTTGATTGTTTACGGTTTAAACCTCATCTATTACCTGCTTTGTTTACAGCAAAAAGAGGAGGAAGATCAGGTAATTAATTGTCCACCTTGGACATACTCAACACTGTAGGCATGCCCTCCATATATTGGCCCTTTTATTCTTTCTTGCATTTATTGTTTGTAACACCTTTACCTGCACGCACGTGTCCATATCATTCCCCCTCCCTGTGCAGCCACATCTGTATCAGGACACCCGTCTCACCCTCTCATTTACAACAACTGTTTCACCATCTTCAAAAGAGACATAGTTCATCACATGGCAAGTCAATAAAACTTTTATATGAATTTAATGTATCACCAACATTAACTTCTTCACTCTCTCTCTTTATTCTATTTCTTCAGAGGCACACCGGCAAAGTACGTCTTTTAGTGTTGTGTGATTATTAATTCATTATGTTCTTTATGTTTTAATCTAATATTAGAATGTAATATCTGTCTGTGTCTTTCTCCTTTAATGTCATTGCATTAGGTGGTTGCTGGCATATGAGAACACAATGTCTTTCCACTTCAGCAATTATTTTGTCGGTTATTTGAGCGAGACTACTACCACTCTGGCCGGGGCAGGCTTCACGGAAGAGAAAGACAACCTCAAATGGTCAGAATTGCATATGCAGTATTAACATAAAGTGTGTTTCTCTTTATTCACATTTTCTAAACAGCCCCACCCCCCCTTCCATTTACTTTTTATCCTGTAGGGACATGACTGTATCCAAGCCACTGAATATAGAGTTTCCCCGGTCAATGGTGGAGGTGGTTACCTCGTGGAATCTGCCCATGTCTTGCTTTCTGCACACCTGTGAGTTATAATGTTAACAGTGATTGCCTGATGGCAGCAGCTGTTTTTGTTTTTTTTACGCTCATTATGAACGGCACGATAATGGCTCACTTAAACAGACACTCTCATCCCACAGATGTTTTTAAGAGTGCTCTCAAATTTGGGACGTTCTCTGCCGTCATGGTAACATATACAGCCAGCGCCCTTCTGCATGTGAGTACTATGTGGAAGTTTTATAGAAGCCATTTTACCTCATGCTCTGCACCGATGTGTATTTGTTTAAACAAGTGGATTTTTTAAATTCTAACTGTTGTGTCTGGTAGGGTTTGAGTTTTCATCTGGGTGCAGTACTAATATCTCTTGGGTTCATCACGTACATTGAGCACGGTGAGAGTCTGCCTAATGTTGTCTCTTTTCCACATTAGAACCTTTCCATTTAGAGAAGGTGCTTAGCTCTGCAGTAATGGTTAATTGCACCCGCTATAACATACTGTTTCTGTTCACTGCAGTGCTTGTAATTTACCTCTTATGGTTAGAAAGGAACTCTTTTCTGTGGTTTCATTTTAATGCTTTGGTCTCTGGTCTTTGTGTTTCAGTGTTTCGGAAGAGGCTTGCAGCCATTTTTAATGCCTGTGTTCTGTCAAAGAAATGTCAGCCCAACTGCACTCACAAGAATAAAAAGGTAATATGCACCATTCTCTCTTCTTTTTTTTTTTTAAAGAGAGGTGCCTTTACTATCAGTCATTTAAGATCAGCATTGGGAATATTAAAGTAATACTTATAAAGCATTCAAACATATTGAAAAATATGCTTATTTTCTTGCTGAGAGTTAGATGGGAAGGTGAATACTCTCGTCTAAATATGTATACTAAATATTTTTATTTTTATTCCTGCCTTTTAAATGTTCCTACATGTTTAACTAATGCTTTGTGCTGCACAAATAGAAATCTATTCCGATCACAGGCCTGTGGTTTTTTGTACATGTATAGTACATATTCTGGTCTTCTTCCAACTATTTTATCTGTGCAAATGGTCATTGCACTGGCATTGCTGGCACTTCCTTTTAGAGCAGGAGGTGCTCAAAGGGGGCCTACCTAGTAGATCTTCTGGCCTAGTTAGCATTCAGAAAAAAATGTGTCCTCTATTTTTACTCTGCATGTATTTAAAAATATGAAAACTAAACCCCTTTTAATTTTTTTCCTTTGATTTAACCTGTAATAAGAATCATAATAAACCTCAGCAGGCAAAGTGACTATCATTTTAGAAAACACAAGACATAGTATAATCATTAAAAAGATATACCTAATGAATTACTAAAGCAATGTGGACCAAATGTTTGAATGCTGTAAAAGAACGTATCTGCAGCAGTTAAAATACAGCAGCCCCCATGGTCCGCCTTGTGCTGTCAATTGATATATTTTGGGAGTTTACTGGCAGTGCGCCCAGCAAAAATCCCTTATGTTATATTGGTTACACACATCAAGAGCAGCGGGGAAGGCGAATAATGATTTATGCCAAGAAGAAGCAGCCTGCATGGACTGCGAGATAGTGCTGATTGTTCCCATCATATTTTAGGCAATGATACGTTAAAGCCCCTGCAAATGTGGTTTCAAATCTTAAGTATTTCTCCATAGCATTAAATATTCATTACTAAATGTGCAACAATCAAAGTTAAAGTTTAGTAGAAGAAGGTATTATGTTTTCTTCAGTCAAACACTTAGCTAATCCGTTTCATGAAGACTATGTAAGGAGCTGGAAGAATAGGTTTTCAGGATGTTTAAGAGAAAAACTAATGGATATTATAATGAAAAAGATATGGATAAAAGTGTCTGAAATATCGATTTAAGTGCCTTATTCTTACATGATGCCTTGTCTCTCCCTCTGCAGGCACTATGGGTGTATATGATTAACATAGCGTTCAGCGCATTGGCAATACTCCACCTCACGTACCTGGGGTCTGTGTTCAACTCCAGTGTGGACTACATGGAGGAGGATGAGGTAAGGTCACAACATGTTTAGAAGAGTATAGGCAACTATATTTATACAAGTCAAGTAATTTTTAAAAAACGCAGTATCACAAATTTGCCTCAAGGTATTTACAATCTGTACAGCAGACGACACCCTCCATCCTTAAACCCCTACATTTTGTTTTTTCCCCGACAAACTGAAGAAAAATTGAAAGAAACCTCAAAAAGAGCAAAAGAGGAGGGCTCCCTCTTCCAGGACTGACATACATGCAATGGATGTCAAGTGTACAGAACAGACCAACGTAAAAGTACACCCTGTACTTCATGTTTCACATGTTCATATGTCACATAGTTTTTGTGACAAATACTATACAGGAATGTAACCTTCACTGTAGTATTTATAGCTCAAAGGAGATAAGTCATAATTATCTTTGTGTGCAAGTAGTTTTAGATCTGTTCAGAAAGTAAGAACTAATGAACGATTTGTCCCATTTTTTGTATGCATTTTTTTTAATGAAAGGTATAAATAAGTAAAGATGTGTGTATATGTATTGCCCCATTGAGCTTACATAGTATGTATTGCCCCCTACAGGACGATATTACCCATCATACCATTCAGAAGTGGTCAGAGCTGAGCTGGACGAGCCACTGGGTCACATTTGGATGCTGGATATTGTACCGCCTCATTCTCTAATAATAGGAGAGAGAAACAGAGAAGGTAAAGGAAGCAATAATTAGATTTGTAAGGCTGGTTCTCCACTTCTGCACTGTGACTTTATTCTGCATCAGACCGAAGAGAACTGAATCAACCTGTATACAACAACAAACCAACACGCAGTGTTCAGGTTGCGCCGCATGTTGGCTGGGTAATCTATTATTCTAACCTGCTGAGGGACTAGTTTTGATATCCATGAAATGATAGCCCGCTCCTCCCTCCTTGTCTCCTTATCGCATCCTTTTTATCTGAGCCGCAGTTGTCAAGGCCTCATGTTGTGACAGCAGTTACCGATGTCTCACTGCGAGTCACAATCAATACCTATCAGCATGGAGGAGATCGGCTGCTCCTTTCTGTGGACACATGATAGAGCCCATTATCTAGGTTTCAGCGTCGACTGTGGCAGATGTCCTCCAGATGTGGTTTCCCCTTGCCTCAAGTGTTTTACAATCGTATTTTTAGGTTTGAAGGATAAAGCTTGTGATAGTCTATGGTTTTCTTATTTTCAATGAATCCCATAAAAATACCAAAACTAATAATGTAATCTGTCTCCCAGTAGTCTCTGACTTCCCAGCTTGTCTTGGGGCTCTCAGCCAAACCCACTGTATGTGTTTGAATTTTTTAAAAGGCTGAATACTTTTCTGAAACAGCCTGGCGCTGCAGTTTCAGCAAACATTTCTGAAACGAGTAAATGCATTTGTTGTCACTGGCACATTTTTTACAACAATGGATGTCTATGACACAGAAGAATAAGATGTATCAGGCTACATCATACAGAGACAACAGCTGTTAATAGTAGGGATGAGTGAGTACACCATCATCTGTATCTGTTCAACCAACTAAATTATCTGTATTCATATCTGAACTTGAAATGGGGTTTAAAGTGGACTCAGGTGGTGCTTAAAGCGCAAGTGGCCGGGACTAATCAGAAGTTGTTAATTTAAGCCTGAAATGGATAAGGGTTTATCAGAAGTTGCTGTATTTATTGGAAAACTATTTATAGAACAGCCTCAGAATTGAGCTTCAGAGCAATGTTTTTGATCACAAGAGTAAGAGAACTATTTACAGAGGATGTTTTAAAAAAAGTTAGTATATTTATAATGTGTATATGTATGTATATTTTACTTATTGTAAAAGATGCTTGTTTCAGCTGAGTACTTGCTCAACCCTAGTGAATAGAATCAATTCATAGCTGGTTTTGGTCTTTTCATGCCATTTGTTGGCAATAAGAAAAAAAGATAAAGCTAAATCACTTAACTTCTCCTTTATCAGAGTTCGTCTCCTGAGCATGTGTAAAACAACAAAGAGTTTACCTCTGAAAGAAAAGAGCACAGGTTATAGTTGAGAGGCAGCAATTATACTGTCACCACTAATTATTTCCCCTTTTGTGAATTTTAGATAAAGAAAATGAACAGAAAGTCTTTGAATTCATTTTTGTGGTGAAATTTCCTAATGGTGTTTGTATTTTGTTTTGTGTTATTTTAATAATTTCTTTTAAATGTAATTATTTTTCCTTAAAAAAAAAGTCTTGTTAGTATTTGTGAACATTTGAAACACTCTTCAGTACTGAAAGTTTAGATTCAGGGTATTCCACGTGTTACTGTACAGGAAAAAAAAGTTTAAACTTCTCTTCCAATTTCATATTAGATGAAATCATACAGTACACTACTGAAATATTTATCCTTACAGATTTTTACTACACTGCTGCTTTTAATGATGCATTTATGTCATTGACGATTACCTGGTGAAAGAATCAAAAGAGCATCTGTAAAAGATTGTGTTCACATTTTGTCTATTTCTTAAATCTAGAGCGTCAAAGGATTTGCTTCTTGACTAAGATGTAGTGTTTTAGATTAGAGCCTGACTGTTCGTTCATGCCTGAGAACAAGTGCTCAGTCTCCGCAGACCTAGTACCACTCACTCCAACAAGTACAGTATTTTAAATATTATTCTGATATTTACTTTAAACCAACTTCTCTCCCTGTAAATGTGAAGGCACTGATACACCTGTGATATTTTTATAAAATTTTACATGAAACCTGAATTTTGCTGTCTTTGTTTCATTTGATGTGGGGGAAAGAAAAAAAAATCCAAACAGGAAATGAACGAGAAGATGTGAAATGTTAGGATAGAAGTCAGGTACACGTGGACTGCTGTAAGAAATAGCTGTTTATTTCAATGATTATTTACAAGAAGAGTGTTTGGACTGTTAGACAGTCTATGAAGGTGAGTTAGGGAAGGATTTGAAAGGGGTGACAAACTTTTTTTTTTTTTTTTTAGCTCAGCAGCGGTCCTGGTTTAACTTGGAGTTTATATCTGAGCATCCAATAACCCAAAGCGGACAGTGTGGGGAAGGGGACAGGTAAGGGTTAGAGAGTGGGGGAGGGGGGGAGGAACAGAGGTTGAACAACAGATGGTGATGGATGGAGATCAGGTTCACTTTCTGCCTCTGTGGGAGGTGAGCAGATGCTGTATCGGAACTGGCCGCACAACAGCCCAGTCTGAAGGCTCAGGGGGAAAGTGTGGCGCACTCAGCCCTGTTTGCCCCGGGGGCCCCCATGTTTACGGCGGCAGGACCCCAGCAGTGTCTCCAAAGCCATCTTCACAAATGCCTGGAAGTTATTGCTTCTCTCCCTTCGGCTGTCCTGCGAGGGGATGAAACACAAACAGATACCTTCACTGGGGACACAGCAATCAAAGCATCTCATTTCCACACTGTGCACCAGAGATAGGGACCTTCTTGTTGTGTCCAACACAGGAAGGCCCATATCAGCCATGCAGAGAACTGTAGATTTTTTTTTTTCTTCTACTAGGAAAAGCATGTAGTCTGTGCACAGATTTGATTCACTGGGTTAAAATAACATGCTGAGAAAAAAAATGTAGGTTTGTATAAATGTTTACCTCCTTGCTTCTTGTTATCATCTCCTTTCTGATCAGCTTTCTTCGGCTGCTCTTTAGGACTCTGAGGTTGCTGTGGAATTGAAGTAAATGTAAATAAACTGATGCAACAAAAATATACAGGTTGAGAAGAAAATGTTGATTTTTTGGACTAGTATAAGAATGCTTTTCTTACCTTGGTAGCTGACTTCTTGTCCGACTTATTACCTATAAATAATAGAAATAGTCAATTTAAATTTTCTTCCTTTTTTAAAATCAGTGATAACATTTTTATATATCATTAAACATGCAGCTCTTCTAGTATCCAGATAAATTGAACTTAAAATACTTTGTAGACATTTTTGTTTTAAGTTGCTTTACCTTTTGTTCCGGGCATTTTGGCTGTGCTCTAGAGTCAGTGCTGATTTTCTGAGAATGCAGTGCTTAACGTGGTGTTCAACTCGGTCATTTATGGCCCGTGCTTGTGAATGGCTCCGTCACTGGGGCCCCTTCGAGAAAGAGCACCACGAACAAGCAAAGAGCCCTGTCAGCTGAGCAGCATGCCCCACAGCTCTGCAGGTCTTTGCTGAGCCAGGCGAAACCTCAGAGCTGACCTTGTTATTCTGCCATTGTGAAGCCACTGGAACTGTGTGTTCACCTATTGTCCATGACAAGAAAGAATTTTCATCATGTTACCAGCAACATGACAGAGGATTTTTTAAATAAACTATTAGGCCAAGGATAAAATCCCTACATGTTGATTAGCCATGTTAGATTTTGTCCGACTAAATAAGAATGTTTTTATGATTACACTAAAGCAGTCTTCAGTGTCAGCACTGTAGGAGTGGAAGATTGTGGCAGGGATCATTAAGTGAGGCTCATAATTGTAATACTTTGTTTGCTTTATTGTGTGCACTTCCACAGGGGGGCTAGTAAAATATTGCTGATATTAACCAATTGATTATTTTGCCCCTAGAGGACCCCTGCGGTCCCTGAAGGCACCACTCCAAATATGCAAATACAAGCAGTACCATTGTTATTACATTGTGCTGGTGTGTAGGCTATGTAGGACAGTGGGAGGACAGTAAACAGAATAAATTAATAATGTTGCAACTTTTTATAGTGTGGCTGAATTAAAAAAAAAAAACATGAAGCTGTCTTGTTTTTTTTTGTTTTGTTTTTTTGTTTTGTTTTTTTTGGTCGTGGTCTCTTGCTTAACCTTATCCAATCAACTGTGGTCGGGGTCATCATACTGGATCAAACAATAAATCATGTTAAACGCTGTGAATCATTCATGTAGCCACACATCCGAAAGTGGGCTGGTTACAACCTGTCATGTGACCTGACTGAAAGAGCAGCGATGGAGAAAAGCTAAGGAAGGTGAGGCGTTTTCTAAGGTGTTTCTCGGTGTTTCTGTGCTATATTATGACAGTACAATACCGTATGAGTTGTATAAGATTGCTAACTGATAGGCTGTCTGTGTATTTTAAAGAATGGATGGGAAACTGGTTTGTGTGCGAGGGCACCGCGTATGATGTTGTGGCTAACTTGCTAATTTGCCAGCTAACGTTGGTTAGCTTTGCGACGTTAGCTGGTCAGTGAGGCTCGTCTGCTCTCGGTGCTGCTGTGAAGAAGAAGACATAATAAACGCCCCCAAACCATTTATTCTTCATCTCTTTATGACTGTTTCAGTTCATATCATCATATATGTTCGGGTTTAAAAACCTTAATAAACATAATACAGGCTCAATAACAAGATGTTTCCCCCTGTGGTGCCATTAGATTCTGCATCATCACTAGATTCAATGCTGTGGTGAGGAGGAAGAGGAGGAGGAGGAGGGTGGTGATATGTCACTTCTATCCATGTACAATCTCAAACAGTGCATGTATGTAAAGTGTATTAATTAAAGTATAATGTTGTGTGTTTAGGGATCTGCCCTGGCAGTGGATTCCTCTCTACCCAGAGCGCTTGTGGGATGGCAGCAGTTTGGCAGCAGGTTTTGGCAGTGGACGCAAGGTGAGACTCAATCATGCAGCGGGCTTTAATAGTCTAAACTGATGAAGAAGCTATTCAGACGTGTAATTGCTTATGGATCAGTCGTGAGTTATTGTGTGTGCTGTGTCACTTCTTTCCCCCCCTTCCCAGGTACAATGCTTACCGCACGCCTACGTTCCCACAGTTCCGAACTCAGTACATCCGCCGACGCAGCCAGCTGCTCAGAGAGAACGCCAAGTGTGGCTTTGAGCCGGGGCTGCGCAGGCAGTACCTGAGGCTGCGCAGTCAGCTGCTGGCCCTGCGCTACGGGCCCCTGTCTGAGCAGAGCAGCTTCAGGGCCAGCAGTGTGCGCAGCTCCCGCACCACACTGGACCGCATGGAGGTCAGACCCAAAGAAACAGAAAGGGCAGGGAAAGTAGGAGAGAAAGAATAGGAGGGGGTGTGTGTACTAATTTGGAAAAGGAGAGATAAAAATATCTGAGAGTTGGAATGAAAATATAGGATACAACATATGAGAGCCATCTGGATGGCTAAATCAATCAGCAGCATAGCCAAACAACACTTTGATTGCCCATGCATATTAAGCTGAGCAGCTTGGTTGAAATGGCTGGCATTGCCCATTTATTACCTTAAATATGCATGGTAATTTCAATAAGTTTTCAAGAATTATTAATGGTTGTTTTATGATTATTTGTGGTCACGCATCCTGTATCTACTTGCACTCACTCCTACGAGGTTCTGTCTCCCCTACGGCTCCCCCCAACCCCCTCTCCTCTCCTCTCTTCTCGGGCAGGACTTCGAGGAGGACCCCCGCGCCCAAGGGGCTCGTGGTCACCGCCGGTCCGTCAGCAGAGGCTCATACCAGCTACAGGCCCAGATGAACAGAGCCGTCTATGATGAGAGGTACCCAGAAGAATGCCACACACAGATCCTCATCTTACATCCAGCATCTTGTCTCATCGCCTTGAGCAATTGAATTCTCTTTGATTTAGTTCTCCTTTGAGCTATTGCGTTTAGTTGGATTTACTGGCTGTAATTCTAGTTTGGTTGCATTGAGTAATGATCAGATCTCTCATATTGAGTTGTCAGCTGTAGGCAAGGGTTGTGAGGTGTGTTGTATTGATTATATGCTTACATGGCGGTTTTTATTTCTGGCCGCAGGCCTCCGGGCAGTTTGGTGCCCACCTCAGTGGCAGAGGCCAGTCGTGCCATGGCAGGAGACACAACTTTGAGTGAAAATTATGCTTTTGCTGGCATGCACCACATATTTGACCAACATGTAGACTCTGCTGGTAAGTGAATAATTTTTAATTTATGATAATCCATTTATATACGTTAAGATTCAACATTCATGTCACTCTTTATCTTTCCCTCCTTGTTCTTTTAGTTCCACGGCTGCAGTTTGCCAATGATGACAAGCACCTCCTTGCATGCTGCTCACTGGATGGCACCCTGTCCATCATGACATTGTCCCCGTCTCCTCCCAGTGTTAAAGTGACCCTGAAAGGTCACGGAGGGCCTGTCACAGACTTTGCTTGGTCTCTGAGCAATGACATCATTGTGTCGACATCACTTGATGGGACTCTGCGTATCTGGAACACGGAGGATGGCCGGTGCATCCGAGAGGTCAGAGATCCAGAATCCAGCGAGTTGCTCTGCTGCACCTTCCAGCCCATGAATAACAACCTTACTGTGGTGAGTCCTGTTTGAGACATTGAGAATTTATCATTTTATATTCTCTTGTACTAATTCCGTATTAGCACAAAAACCTTCACAAGGGAATTGTATTTAATTATGGGTAACCACATTTTCAGAAATACAGCCAGATCCCCTAATTGGCTGTTTTGTATTTTTTGTTTTTTCATAAACAAATTGTTCATCCTACATTGTTTTATTTGTCTTCATCTTGCTCCTCTCTGGTCCTGGTATACACCAAGCCATTGACGGTGACTTTTGCATCTTTTATTTCCTCTTCTATCATCCTTTAAAATTAATTAATCACCAAGCAACCTTTTTTTTGCTCAAAACACTGTCTAATTTTTGTGAATGAAGTATATTCACAAAATAATAAAGCATTCAAAGGGCCAAACTTCCCAACAATAGCCTTTCATCTCTTTCCCAATTACTGCATGCATATTTACAGTGTGCAGACATTGATTAAAATTTTTTACGCTGAATGTCATCTTTTGTTACCCAAACAAAAGTGGTAAATGTCTTGAATCATTTTGTTTTTATGCTTTTTTGATGGCAAATACTTATATTAGTGAGCAGAATGTAAAATGAAAGCGGGGTTGTGCACAGCAGTGTCCATTTACACCTCATTAAATGGAACATGGTTGGATATTTGTTTAACCAAATGTCAGTACCAACAATAAGCAAGATTGTGAGAGACATTATGAGAGGAAGAAATATTTTTCTTTATGGTTTGAACTGGTTAGACGTGTCTGTGTCTGAGCTGTGTTGGGCAAAGTTCCCTGAACACAAGATGTCAGTGGATTCTTTCTGTTGGATTACACAGGTTCTAGTATTAGAAAGAAACAACTTGCGTTGGTTTTCACAAGTCTAACTGCACCAGCCTAAAAACTACAACCAGTGCTTTTCACAGTCAGTTTCTGAGTGCTGCTCTGTGGAAATAATGAAGGTCCTCACTCCCAGTTCTGTGTTGCAGGTGGGAAACAGCAAGCACCACCTGCAGGTGGTGAACATCTCCACTGGGAAGAAGGTGAAGGGGGGTTCCAGTAAGCTGACAGGCCGCGTGCTGTCTCTCTCCTTTGATGCTCCGGGGAGGATCCTTTGGGCTGGTGATGACAGGGGGAGCATCTTCTCCTTCCTATTTGACATGGCCACAGGTAAACTCACAACATTTCCATTTGGCTGAGGGCAAAGTGTGCCGTGGCTGAACCACAAATTTATAATTCATTTTTGTATCGGGCACTGAATGGTGTCTTTGGTTAAGAGGGAAAGCGGTTGATGTGTCTCTGCCGGTCTCTGCTGTTCCTGCCTGCCCCCCCCTACAGGGAAGCTGACCAAAGCCAAGCGTCTGGTGGTGAGTGAAGGCAGCTCCATCTGCAGCATATCTGCTCGGTCCTGGATTAGCCGAGAGGCCAGAGACCCCTCCCTGCTGGTTAACGCCTGTGTCAATAAGCTGCTGCTGTACAGGTCAGTCTGTAAGGGCAAGTCACTGTTTAATAAAAGGCAGTTTTATGTCTGCCGTGTTGAAATACAATTTATAGCCGTCTTTATTGGAGTGACATGTATGTAAAAAACACTACACTGTGGCACTGAATCTGATCAGTTGTACCACCTTTGTGTTGGCAGGGTGGTAGACAATGATGGTACACTACAGCTGAAGAGAAGCTTCCCTATCCAGCATGGTTCCCAGCTCGTTCATAGCATCTTCTGCCCTCTCATGTCTTTCAGACAGGGAGCCTGTGTGGGTAAGAAGTCTCTCAAGTGTTCCTGCTGTGATATTTGAATAGAAAATTAGACCACGGTTCATTATATGCTGCAGGCTATCCAGTGTAGAAAGAAAGATATGAAAGAAATAGCATTCTTTAGATAAAAAGAAAAACCCAAATAGCAACATTTCTGAAACGAAGTAACCTTGTTCTAAGCTTGTATGTATTTTTGAGTGAATTTAATTGGTTATGTAAAGCGTTCATCTTCCCCAGGGTTGTAGAATTTATAGTTTGAGTATATAATCAGTTTTACAGCATGTTGTGTACATTACAGCAGTGATATTTGACACCGCTCTACCTCAGAGTTTCACCTTACTTGACTTTCCTCACCTTAATTATTTCCTAACAACTGTTAATTTAATTCGAGGGTTGCCAGTGTTTTAATTATCAGGTTTGCGTGTTTCTCACTCATATAAAAATATCCTCAAGAATATCCTCAGTTAAGGATGTGTTGTCATTTCACTGTCACAAAAACAACGGATATTTTGCAACATGGATGGCTGCATTATTTAAAAGGAACTGACAAACTAAAGGAGAAGTCTAGAATGAATTGTTTTAATTTCTCTTCACAATTTAACTTCTTAATCTTCTGATTATCCTTCTGACACAGTGACTGGCAGTGAGGATGCCTGTGTCTACTTCTTCGACGTCGAACGCAACACCAAGGCGATAGTGAACAAGTTACAGGGTCACGGGGGACCAGTGCTGGACGTCAGCTTCAACTGTGACGAGAGTTTACTGGCATCTGCCGATTCCACTGGCATGGTCATCATCTGGAGGCGGGAGCAGAAGTGACGGATCCATCAATAAAATGCTTCCATCTAGTGCATACAAAAGGCCTGCCGCTCCTTAACCGTCCAATAACAAGTCTGTAGATTTTCACTGGAATGTAACAGGCTGCGTTAAACGTTTAATTTAATGATACTCAAGTGCAATCACATAGAACACCGTGTTGTGTAGGTGGTAGGGATGTCTTAGAAATTCAAGGGGTTGGGGGATGGGTTGTGTGTGTGTGTGTGTGTCTGTGTGTGTGTGTGCGCGCGCATGTGTGTGTGTCAGTACTCCTACAGCTGCAGCTGAGAAATTGCTTTTCAACAAAGGAAGAAAGAGCACTACTCCCATGCATGTGTCATGGCTTACCTCTGACTTGTTCGGATATGACTGAATTTATGTGAAGAGGATGCAACGTAATCTTTCAGAGAAACCAGATCCAAAACTGACAGTCCCTCTGGCATAGATCTAGTTCACTATTTATGTAACTGTTATTCAAGCAGTGTAATCAAGTGTAGTAAAAACCGCCTTATTTGCTGTCAGTTCTGCAATTGCCTGTTTGCATTTTGAGACCATGTGCATGACATTGAACTCAGTCGGTAGGCATATCAAATTGATCATTGCAAAAGACAAACAAGTGTGTTTTTAAATATGTGTTTGTACTTATCTGTGTGTGTGTGTGTGTGTGTGTATTCAGTTCATGCTGGTTGCAAATTCATATAATTTATTTAACGCACATACAGAATAAACTACTGTAACTGTCAGTGGTCTTTGTTTCTTTTTTCACACAATGTATTTGAAACAAAAGAAAAACGGAAATACTAATAACAAGAGCTTCATGTAGTAGGGTGGTCAAACCTACAGTGTAGGAGTGTGTTAGTCATTGTGTGAGATCGTGTTCAAGATCTGCACAGGGTTCCCCCTACATCAATGACTAAAAGATGTGTAAAAATGTACTGTTGCATTCAGAACTGGCTTATATATTTATAATATTGTTAGTAATAATAATGAGTTGTTAAATAAGGTTTTGTTTTAACATTGTTTAGATTAAAGATTAAATGGTGTCTTTTTATGGTCTGAAAGGCTTTAACATTCAATATTTGACCTTTTCAGTGTGTTCTAGCTTTGAATAAAATAGACAATTCCTTTCCCGGTTTGGCCATCAATCATGATAATCACATTGATAATGATGTTTTTGGCCATACTAGGCGTGGCTTTGTGGATGGTAACGTCGGCCATTTGGTTGGTTGCCTGATTCACCAATACTTTCAAGACCAAAAACCTGTGGAACTTTTACATCATCCTCAGCTGTAGTTTGGGTTTAGTGCTAATTAATTAACACGCTACACTAAGAACATGGTAAATATTATACCTGATTAACATCACCATGTTAGCACCCTTAGAACTGGGAACATAGGAATGATCCTGTCTTGTTCAACAATTTATTGCGTGTAAGTTAAGTTTCTCTTAAAAACACCAACGATAAAATGTCCTCACATTATCAATATTTAGGTTTTCAGTTAAATCATAGTACTTGATTCTTTCATCATCATCAAGGTGTAGATAGCTGCAGGTATAATGTGAATATGCACAAAATATCAGGAAGAGAAGTTCCCAACTTTTTGGATTGTGATCCAATAACACAATGTCAGCTTGTGACCCCAACAATATTGTTTCATTTGAAGGATTTTTAGAGGTGACACTATCTATTATTTCTTTTTTGTTTTGATTTTGTTTAGCTCAAGTGTATGATGACCCCTCAAATATTTATTGGAACCCTCTGTCCTGACCCCCAGTTTGGGAACCACTGATGTTGATCAGAACCACACATTCAAGCTCTTACACATGTAGTAATGTCCATTTTCTATGTCTAGACAAGCTATAAAAGTGATACACTAGTGTGGCATTGAGAGACTAATGTGTCATGTCAGTGTGTGACATTACTCTCACATTGCCATCTCCACACTATTTGCACTGTTTCAGTGTTAGAGAAGGAAATACATAATTAACTAACAATTGTGGAAACAGGTTGAAAAAAGTTACTGGGAAGCAAAGTTGTGTAGGAATCATGGGGATTTTAAAACACATTGTGTATGATTTATGCACCCTCAGACTTGATTGTTTCCCTCTCAAGGTTGGTGAGGGTATTGTGACGTATAAATGTGGCTGTGTGGGAGTGAAAGCACAATGAATGGTTGCTGTCTGGGAAGGTCAGGACGGGGCTTTGTTTGAAACAGGCAGGGTAGGTGCTGATAAAAAAAAATACAACAACAAATCCTGGAGAGCAACACAAAACTTCTCCTGTGTGAACCTGAGTGCTCTGATAGGACAGTGCAACACGGCTACTGCACAACTCTGCATCTTCAGAACATACAGTGGGTGAGGATAAGTTTTCACAAATGAGTAAGACAGCCTTTGTTGTGGTGTATCTCGGAGAGAAGTGGGAAGGAAACTAAAAATACGCACTTTAGATGAATCTTCAACATCAGCTCTGGTGAGACAGAGAGGCACGGTCGGATACAACCTGTTAAACCTCGACTATTTGGAGGATGTTTCCACAGTTGATGCTGCTCACTATGGAAACATCTTTTCCATCAGCCAGAGTCTGAGTGCAGAAATAAAGACAATGGAAATTATCTCTCATTCAAATTCAAAATATACAGTAATTGTTTAGCAAGAGAATACACAATCATAGATGGCTGGATTTCAATCGGGCCCTAATTAAGATTCAAATATATTATTTTCTCCCCATCCTTTTCATTTTATTTTAGAATGTCAGTAGCATAATTGGTTGGTTGCATAAGGTTTGCTGTGCATGTGAAATCTGCATGATTTGTTTTTACCACCAGAGAGGCAAATTTGTTTGGAGTTTGGTTTTTCTGTTTTTCCATATTCTTATTTTCAGGTGATTATACACTAACGAAAACATACCTGTGAATATTAAATTACATTTCTGCCAATAGATCCTCCTAGATTTTACATACTGGACCTTTAAGTTTTATTTCAGGAGCGTTTAAGCACATCAGACCACTAGCTTAAGAAACGTACTCATTGGATCGAATCACATTTTGTTTTTGTAATTTCAAACCTTGTATAATAATTCTAATTTGTATATCTCTTGAGTTGTTTGTGTAACTATACACCTGTCTCCGCAGGTCTTAAAGGGTGGTACTCGAGTAAAAAATCACAAATCCTTTTCACTCTACAGCGGTTGCTGGTCAGTGCTCACTGATGTGGAAAGTGTCAAGATTACTTTTTCATTGCATGCCGTGAAGTGTACAAAACAGATTGATGTGTCACAAATGTTTTTTTTTTTTTTCTGTATATGTTCAGGAACTACAACGCACACAGGATGTCATTTGTGCTATAGCTCCTGTAAAAGTGGCCTATTCTCTCCACTGGGAATCCAGCCATGTCAACACACAGGCAGGTCATGACTCAGAATGCATCAAAAGTAGAGTCTTTATTGATGAGTGGGCAAAAGAACCACCTCAGTTAAACTGTACAGTTACAGAATATCATCTCGCGAAGGAATGCCAGACGTAAAAATTATGGACCTCAGTTCACGTTTCACTTTGTCTTTCCATATCAACATCTGTACAAGTTGTAATCCACAGTCTTGAATCTATGAAATGCAGTGGAATGCATGCTAATACAGTATGCTGTGCAAGTGTCCACATTTAGAAAATTGACTGCACAAGTATATCTATGCCTAACATACTGTAGGTCTGACATTTGTATTACATGAATCTTAATTTGGAGAGACAACTTAATGTAGTCTAAGCTGGTTTCCATATAACAAACATCTCTGGGGTCGTGTTCAGCCTGGAGATGTTTAGATTTTGAACTTACTGTGATCCAGGACACTCAAATGGTGACTCTTATGTTGAGGGGAAGTATAAGAGAGCCTGGTAACATTCAAGTTTCCTTCACATTAAGTGACACTTAATTTCTTCATTTTTTTTCATATTCTGGTGAGAGCATAACAGTACTTTAAAAACATTCCCAAGATCATCATTTGCAAATAAATGTTCATTTGCTAATGATTTTTTAAAACGACGTAATCATCATCATTCAAGTCATTAAATCCTATGGCCTGTTTGCAATGTACAAGTGTTGTTTTTCTAATTATTCGGTCCCCTTTTTCATTATCCATCTATAGTTCACATTTGCTTGCACATTACCATTAAAAATCAGACTACATTTTCAGTTACGGAAATCCATTTAAAGGATAAATTTCCATATGATGATTGTTCAATTTTGCATGATTTTGAGACACCAAGATGAGGCTGCTTTCATACTGACTCAATATTACTGGAACCTATTCTATCATCATTATTTCTCTCATGTTTCTCCCTGCCTCCTCTCCTCTCCTTCTACCTCTTCCTCTCGCACACACATACACACAATTGCTATATAAAAACACACAAGCAGGAATATACATTCCTGTACAGTCTATACAATATGAAATCAAGTCATATTTCAAAATAGTGTCATCTGCTTAACATGTATAGTTTACAAATAAAGGAAAACAGGCAATTTTTTTATGATACAAAGAAACCTGACACGCCCTAAATCAAGTCCAAAAAATCAAGCATGTTAGGGGCTTCTTGGGTTCACAACAGCTATTTAAATGTATCCAAGGTTATTGGGTCCATTCGATATTCTGCAGTCTCTTTTGAATTACATGAAAAGGCGTCCTGGGTGGTTTATCAATCCATTCAGACCCTTTTAGTTCCTTGATGTGTTTCAGAGTTAGTAACGCTCTGATCAACGCTTTCTATTCACAGTCCACAGCACATTTCTTCAAGGATTTCAAACCTCTGTGTGTCTGTTTTGTGCCTCATGTGACACAGAAACTAATTCTCAGTTGAAAGCTCTGGGGCGTGTCCCATTGAAATAAGGCAACATTATTTTAAAATGGCATCTGTCACACTTAGTTGGATTGGTGATTGTTGTGATCTTTCCTACGTATTAATCTTACAGTACATCATCAGAAATACGAACCATTTAAGTTTTTACCAGGGCTTCTCTATTGCCCTGTTCAAACCTGTGCACCTGACACATTTATTCAAATATCAACATTCTTAATGAAATGGCACTGTGCCTGCATTTGTTGGCAAAAAATTGATTTTGTTGTGCAAAACAACAAAAACAGACACTTAACCAAGGTGCGTTACATCACGTCTATTCTCCTAATTTCCCTTTAAAACCTGAAACATTCTCTTCATTAAGCTCTTATCTTATCACATAATGCAGTAGGCCTCGTCCTGGGGCAGGTGTTGTTTAGTCCTCCAGTAGGTTGGCAGGTGAGCTCTCAGCACTTTCCTCAGGTCCTCGTTGAGCAGGAGACAGAAGATGGGGTTGACTCCGGCTTGGGCAAAGCTCATCCACACTGTGATGGAAAGGTACCTGTGAGGGATGGTGCAGGACTTGACGAACACCCTCCAGAAGCACGCCACAATGTAGGGAGCCCAGAGGACCAGGAAGAGCAGGGTGATGGTGTAGAACATCCTGCCCAGCCTCCTCTCTGACCTCACCTCTTCCATCCCGAGCAGCCGCCGGTGTTGATTGTGTAAATTTTGCCTGATGCCCAGCAGAGTGGGTGGCATGGGGCCACGACCGAACCCTGCAATCCAGTTAGCTGCAGCTTGACCTGTGGCCCCAGGACCGTGGAAGGTCCAGTTCTGGCTGATAGCTGGCACTAGCTGGACGGGTTTCATCTTGCGGTGCCTGTACTCAAACAGCAGCAGCTTGGCGTAGAAACCGTGGGTAGCCAGGACCACCACAGCCAGCATGAGCATGAAGCCCAGGGTGTCGTTGGTCTTCAGGTAGCGGTGTTCAAAAATGCACTGATCCTCATCACGGATGAACTTGTATGTCCCCACATCAAAGACAGGTGGGAACGCCATGGCAACGGCCAGAGTCCACACCATGCAAATGATGGCGGCGCAGGTCCAGATGGTCATGCGCTTGGCGTAGAATCGGTGGTGGGCGATGGCAAGGTAGCGGGTGACAGCCACACAAAACAGCATGAAGGCAGCGTGAAAACAAAACAGCACAGCCATAAAAGCCACAACTTTACAACTCAAGGCACTGTAAGTCCAGGCCGAGCTGTTGTGGACGGAAACCAGCACAAAGGGGAAGCAGGCAGCAGAGCGAACTGCATCGGCCAGGCACAGGTCCAGGAGAAAGAAGTAGGGAGCCTTGTGAAGTGTCCTGTCTCGTAGGACCAGCAGGGAGACCAAGAGGTTGCCTACAAGGCTGACACAGATGATCAAACCCAAGAAGACCAGCTTAAAGTAGGCAGACACATCTGTGGCAGAGATTCCTCCACTGTTGCTGCTGCTGTCACTGCTGCTGCTGCTGCCGCCTCTTGCCAGTCCACTCTGCGAGGCCAGCACAGCCAGCAAACTACCGGGGCCATCGATGGCAAAGCTCTGGTTAGCCATTCTATCACCTTCTGCAAGAGCCTGCCTGGTTTGGGCCCTTTATAAACAATACTGATCCTCCTACAGCCGTCGTCTCCCGCGGCTCTCTCGTCTTTATAAGGAGAGGCTGTGAGGATCTTTTCTACATGACAGACTCATCTTTCCTCTTTGTCCACAACCTCACCACCTGTGAACAGAGACACACATTTTGAAGAATGAAAAACAAGATGTCTGACATGCTTGTTAGGTCCAAAAAACAGTCCACTAAACGGAAACCAAACTTACATTTAACAGCATTGATATAGAAGTGCTGTGTTGGGCAACACAGTGGAAATCTCTGCCTTCCTGTTTCTCTATGGCTGGGATCAGATCAGCAGCTCTACAGCATGCCAGCTCCTTGGCTCTCTCAGTAATTACCTTGCCCGTTGCTAAGATACAACAGCTCACATACTTTGTGCAAGTGTGGGTGTTTGAGTGAATGCATGGGGGTGTACAGGGGGATGGAGCAGACACTGTACAACCAACACTGGGCTTGTCCAACAAACAGAGATGTTGTAAATGAGCAAAAGAACATTTTATGCTTTCTCTCTGCTGCTCTGTGCGTGTGTATGTGCATGACAGTTAAAGAGCAGAGGGTGTAATCTGTACCATTCACAGCACATGACAAATATGAGAATATAATGAAGCAGAGCAGGCAGCCATTTGGTTTTTTTTTTTTTTACCGTAGGCCTACGTGTGAAGTGTGGAATTTTACTCAACAGGAGGAGGAAGTTATCGTTGTGATTTTCATAGTCAAGGCCTCAGTGTTTTAGCAAGGAGCCCACAATCAGCTTTTGTTAAAGAAGACACTATTAAAAACATGAAAATTCAATAGGAAAAAAATAAAAAACAAATTTGAGATGCAGCCTCCCTTCAAAAGCACATTTCAAGGCGGAAGCTGATAATAAAACATAGCTGTGCTTGTCTGGGTGGGCCTTGTCTATGTAGGCCATGAAACACAGTATGATTTGCTGTAACTGTAGGCTTATTTCCCCCCCAATACATAACAGCCCTCTGCCACCTTGACAAATATCATTTCACCTGATTAGATGGCTGCCATGTCAGCTAGGCCTGAAACACAGACTGGAGTGAAAAACAGATGAACAGGTGTCAAAATCAACCTCCACTGTGTGTGTGTGTGTGTGTGTGTGTGTGTGTGTGTGTGTGTGTGTGTGTGTGTACGTGTGCGTGCGTGCATGTGCGTGAGTGTGTGTTTGTGTGAGGAAGAGAGAGAGAGAGAGAGAGAGAGAGAGATGATAACCTACCTTTCATCCTCTCATCTTTTTTGGATCTGTTCTTCTCTCACGGCAAAAACAGAAAAATGATCCCAGTCGCTTTGTTTCACTGTTTGTCAAATCGAGAGAAAAACACATAATAAAGCCTCATGCTCTTGCTGTGTGCTCTCGGGCTCAAACAACACCTGTTATGCATAAATCCATCGCGAGGAGATCGAAATTGAGCAACATATAATAAACATAAGACGGGTAGAGGCTATCTTAATAATCAACAGCTGATCAAACAGTCCAGGATGAGGACTCTGTCATTAAACCAACATTTGAGAGACATGTATATATATATATATATATAAAAAAGACAACCATCCACTGCCACCCTTTTTACAGTTTCATACAGAGGGATGTGTTCATTTGCTCTGTGTCTGAATATCATCCGAGAAAACAGATTTTATGTTGCATCACGTCGAAGATGGATTTCCAGTAGCCTAGAAACAGACGCGATAAAAGAAGATATATCTTGTTCTGTTCATATATCCAAATGATGTCAGATTTTCAATGCTTATAATAACCCACCCACAAACGGTAGAGAGGAAAAAAAGGTCGCGCATCCCCTAAATGAATCGTCTTGGCGTGTATATTGGCTAGTGGCACCAGAACAATTAGTCCACACAGACAACAGCCTCGATACGTCTCTTTTTCCCATCTTTCAGTCAGACAGAAAAAAAAAAAAAGAAGGGAAAAAAAAGGCGATGTATTTACCCTGAACTGTCAATATGCAGTCTTTGTTTTGCTGTCCAGCGAAGGTGGACTACATCTCAATAGTCCACAATAAAAAAAAAAAGCCTCCATGACAGAACAAATACATTTTGGACACATCCAGCGATGTCACGAGGAAATTCACATCGTCAACGCTGTCGAGATCACCATTTCATTATTTTATTTTTTGGTTTTTTGGAGTGGTTGAAAAAAAAAGAAGAGGAAAACCAAAAAAAACAACGCGGCTGGATTAGGCGAATTATTCCTGAATAATCCCAATTATGGCTGCTTGCGAGGAGGCAGCTCGCACATTCGCGGAAACCGTCGGTTTTATTCGGAGAGAGAGAGAGAGAGAGAGAGAGAGAGAGAGAGAGGCGGACCTGTGCAGCATTGTGAGCCATACATAACTTGAAAGTGATGTTTTATTCTAACCATCGCTCTCTGGCATCATGTATGACGCGTCTGTTTTCTACAGCGAGGAGCTCCAGCTGTCAACAAACTATGTCTTTCATTGGTCTCCTGTCCTTAGTGACAGACTGGGCCGACTGGACCCCCTAAAATGACACAGACAGGGCCTGGCAGGGCAGCAGCGAGGAATTATGGGTCCTCTGGATGAATGTTGGGCCTCCTGTTTTTCAGAGTAAAATAATGTTATAATAATATAAAATATTATTTTTTTTAAAATGTATATTGGGTTGGATGACAATGTGGGATGTTCGACCACTTTGGTCCAAACTAAAACATCTCAACAATTATGGTTAAACATTTAACTTTTGTGCCTTGTTTTCATGCTCCCCAGAGGACGAAGCCTAAATATTTTGGTAATTCTCCAGATCTTTCCTGTGGTTTTGTGGTTTTGAGTGAAATGTCCCTACAACTGTTGTGTGGTCACGTAACTGGTACACATTAATGTCCCCTTCAGGATGAACAACTCTTGTTAACTGCTAACGTTTCATCTGGCGCCATTATCAGGTCAAATCAAGACATTTCCATCAGCCTCAGCTGTGCTTTCTATTAATGTCAGCATACTAGCAAACTAAAGTAAGAGGGTGAACTTGGTAAACCTGATAAACATCAACCAAAAGGGTTGAGAACCACTAATGTTGGCTACGTATATATATTTTTTATGAGGTATACAATTATTTCAGTATTATAGTTTTATCTTATTCCCTGGAGTCATTTTTTTAATTACAAAACTCATAATCTCACTGGCTGAGCCACCCTTAAACTCCATGTAAAACACCCAGTAGTCTTATATTAAGTTGAAGTGTTATTTTGGGGGCCATTTTGCATTTATTTGTTACCAGACAGCAGAGATGTGACAGGACATGAAGGGCCAAAGGGCGGCAAGGAGCAGGGACGTCACAATTACATGGTCAGCATCATAGTCCCCCAAGGATGCCCTAAAAGTGTTGTGTACAATATTAATTTATAAACCCAAAACATAATCCGTATGATAGGTAACAATCGAACAACATTACACTTACAGTAAAAAAAAAAAAACAAGCATTTGAGAAAGAGCAATATAGTAAACTGATTAGCATTAACATTTATGCCCAGAAAACTGATCACCACTGATAAGATGGCTTGTCCGATAAGCAGCAGGCCTACATTTACTTTTGGTTTAAAAGTAAATGTTAAAAAGATGTTTCATTTCTTTAAAAGACAAATATGCAAGGTTTTTAAAGGCTTTATTCAATATTAAAAGTGACATTTTTTCTTGAAATTATTTTCATAATGTGTCTAATTTTGTGACCTTGAGGAGTGGACTGATTTCTGTCTCAGTCAAACAAACTCAAACAAATGTACTGAAAAGTCAAATAGGGGCTAAATGATGGCTGTGATGGACCAGATAAAACGTATAAACATCCATGGACCGTGGGTGATAATTCTTTTGGAATACAATGACATGTTGAAGGAGAGGTATTATGGAAAACAAGATTTGTCTTGTCTTGAGGGATTTTGCTGTCAAAGATGTTATTTAAGTAAAAAGCTGTTTCTTGTGATGAAACAGCTCCATTTGAACAGGCTAAACTTCCCCACTGAGTGAAATCACACTGGGTAAGAAAGAAAAGAAAAAATGCCCCCCTTAAACTGCTGTTTAGTAATTATGTCACAACACCCACAGAACCTTTTTTTTAAATCGTTGCTTAACACGGCTTTCTGTGGTGTATTGCTTAAAAAGGCATTAATTATTTCAAAGTGAATGTCTGTGGTAGAATTCACACTGATTATCCTCCTTGGGTCAGTTATAAGTCTGCTTAAATTTTTAATACATTCCACACTCAAGCTATGTGACCATCACACAAATTAATCACTCCCACCCTTTTTCCCCAGAATGAAAGTCCATGAAATGCAAGTGTGCTCTGATTAATAATTTTGTTTTAAGGCCAAATACGTAATCCACATAATCCAAAGCATACCTGACATCCAAGGACGTTTGTGGGTTTGAAGTTAATAAAGTTAATACATGAGATACAGCAGCAGGAAAACACTGAAGTGGTTTATATAACTCTTAAAGGCTCAGAGAATAAAGATAATGTATAAAAGATATCCGCGTACCACGACTGTTATCAGAAATAGCCTGTGACATCTCATCATGCAGCATCTGAGGAGGTTTCCCGAGAATTGTCAACCTTCACACACTGATCTCAGCTTATAATGGCCAGTGTGTGCTGTACTCTAGCATGACACCGTGACTTCAGTGCAATGCGTGACCTTTGGCTTCTATCTGCAGCTCAGGTTGCTGTCTGTGTATTTCCACTTCAAGCAAAGCTGAATGCGCTCCAGAGACAGAGGCACTAAAGGCTCTGATGTTATTTTTGTGGTGTGTCTGTCAGTCTCTCCGAATTTTCTGCTCCGCACTGCAGTGTCATTACTGTGCATGAAACTGAGATTTTTTCTTTTCTTTTGCAGAGTGGATGAAAAGAAAAAGAAATAAAGACTCAAAGCAGGACAGGGTATAAGACCATGTTTAATGGAAATACACTGCAAAAAGCAAACATTTTCATCACTTCAAACATGTCATTCAATGCTTCAGTCTGTCTGTGAGGTTGTCAAACAAGTCCTTTAAAATTCTGTGTTGTGCAACAACAACAATATGGGTTTACTAGCAAGAATCAACAGGAAGACTTCTGTGCAATAGTGAGGAGACGTTGAGGACACCGGTGCTCTTTAATGATAAAATATCTCTTTCACATTTCACACTGGACATTTTCTCACTTGTTTTGTCCCTCAAGTAGCATCTATTTCAAACTGATGTTCACAAAAGGTCATCAGTTATTCTTTTTTTTGGCATTAAGGCAAAATACTTCACACAACCATGTCTTGCTTTTGCATTTTGTAAACAAAATACCATTTGTATAACAAGTCTCTTTAGTATCCAACTATGGTAATGTTTTTTTTGTCCTTTAATAAAGACATAACACATGGAATTCACAAAAGTTAAATTCATGGCAGTGTGCTTAGACAACAACCTCAACTACATCAACAATCAAAAAAACAAAAAAACAAGTGCATTACAGGACTGATTGAATAAATCAGAATATAACACCACATACACATCTCCACATGACAAGAAATAAGTAATTACAGACCACTTACAAAACATCTCTGGTAATATATGCTTCAGTATTAGAGTGATCACAATGTTGTTGTAGAAATGGGAAAACAATCGACTACTTTTCTATTAGTTAACACTTGTTTGACAGAATGCATGAAAATATCATCAGTATTTGTATAATTAATTTCCCCTTGCATTGGACTTTGGATGGAAATACTCATAAATTGTACGCAATATGTCTTTCATTAGATGAACATCTATATTAATCTAAAAAGAAAAAACTCACACAGTGACATCAACTTCAACAGGAGAGTGTTTTTTTTTTTTTTTTTTTTTCACTTGTTGGCTTATTTTGGAATCATGAAAAGGCACTTAAGATCCGAACAGAATGGCATAATCACAAACGGCGCAAGACCAAAAGCAGTCCAATTAAGAAGAGGGCACTGGGTTCCTGCAACACTATCGAGAGGGAGACAACTCCACTCAGAAAGATGACGGATGACATCAGATTCCTGTTGACGTTATGCTCAGACTGGAGCTCGGAAACCTCTGACAATGTGTTTGGTAGATTCTCTAATAATGTGTCAGGGGAAATCTGGGGAGCATCAGCAGACTGAGGAGCTAAGTTTTGGCTCACTTCAGTGATACCTGCACTCACTGAGGGGTTCTCTGTGAGTTTGGGTGATGGTGGAGCTTCACCTTCTGCTCCCAGAGACGCCTCACTCTCAGCCACAGGAGACAGGACTGCAGGTTTGCTGCCTTCATGATGTGTTGCAGACATGGTGGAATCTTCTGATATTCCTGCAGCAAGTTCACTCAACCCCACTGCAACGTCTTGCTCAAAGCCCTGAGTCACATTGGGGGCAGAGACACACTCAGCAGGCAGTTCAAGACAAGAACGACTGGCTGGGCTGTCGGTCGATCCGTCCTCTCCTGTTGCTGGCAACAGATTTGTCTCTGTGGTTGGAAGATGCACGCATGGGGCCTCTGAGGGAGGGATTTCCTCTGCGCCAGCCTGGGAGCTGTCTGATCTCGGCCTTGACTCTTGTTGTAGAGAAGGAGTTGAAGCAGGCAGCAGTGCAGAGGGACTACTGTCTGTGGGCTGCTCTGACGTTTGGTTGCCTAATTCACAGTGGAGTCTGGGTAAAGCCTGTGACTTATTTGGCTGGACTGATTCGCTGGCACAGAGTACAAAGGATGAATTAGTCTGAAGTGTGGTTTCGGATGACATACAAGGGAATTGTTCACCTGGGGATACAGTGTGAGCGGACAGTGTGCCATCAACAGATGGAAGCTCTTGGTTGGGTGGGACAGGGGGACCAGATGGGTGAACTGCAATCTGTTAAAGTAAAACAGTGAGACAACAGTGACAGCTAGGAGAGTATAAAGACAAAGGGGAAAGATTTGTATTCTACATTTAACATTGCACACAGAGAGAGGAAAAGCATTTTACTGCATACTAATGCTTTTCTGTGAGATGGAACCCATGCTGACATTGTGATTGTGAGGAAATGCAAACAAAACAGGAGCAGCAGTATGATGGGATTGATCTTTTTTTCAAAAATGATTGGCAAAAAAGTACATTCTAATGTTCAGATAGAGATAGTCCCAAGATACTTACATATAGCATGTGCATCCAAAGGAGAAAAAAATGAGATCAATGCAATTCTTATAATATACTAAATCACTGTAGAAGTAGCTACGATGACAGGCATCTTCGGGAAGTTCGCAGATGACACTGTTTTGATCAGTTTGCTCCAAGATGGAGAGGCAGATCACAGGCCAAGTCTTAATGACTTTGTTTAATGGTGCAACAACCACTTCCTGAAGTTAAATGTTCACAAAACTAAAAAAAACATGGCCATCACCTTCAGGAAAACATCCCACTCAACCTTCCCAACAATAATTAGGGGCTCACTTGTTGAGACGGTTGAGAGCTACAAGTACCTGGGAACAGTGATCGACAAGTTGAACTATGATCTCAACACATCTGCTATCTGCAGAAAGGGCCTGCAGAGACTTCACTAATGGCTTTATTTTATAAACCTGTAAGTCAGGTTCTGTTGTAGTATTTTTTTGGTATGGGAACCTCACAGTGCAAAACAAGTTGCCAGAAAAATAATTGGCACACAGCATCTTTCTTTAGCAGATATCAGACAAGTTTTGTGAAAGGCACAGTCGATCTTAGCCAGCTCTGATCACCCACTCCCTGAGGAATTTGTTCTTCTCCCTTCTGGGTGGAGACACAGGTTTAAAATGTGCCTTTGTTCCAAGGGCAGTTAATGCGTTTAACTTGCACTGAACATTGACTGCACAGCTCAGCAGCACTTTATCGAGACTACCATTCCAATGGTTTTAACAAACCAATGCTGTTTGCTGTAACTGTTGTGACTAATGTCCCTTTGTATGTTGTGTTTGTGTTTTTGCCCTTTACTGGAAATCAAATTTCCCCTTGAGGGTCAATAAAGATCTGAACTGAGCTGAACTGAACTGAAGTTTACCCCTATGTACACAATTTCACATATTGAACTGAGGGGTGCGGAGGTTGTTTGACCTAAAGTCATTCCTGAATAAACCTTATTTTCATTTTCAAAAATAACTAATAATCTAGAAACGAGAAGTGGCTGTGACAAACATCCAAGGTCAAATGAAAATGAAATCAGAACAATATCAAACAAAAAGACATAACAAAAACAGCACCCAGGAGAACAAGTGCAAGAGCAAGACACATAAAACACAGATAACAGAAAGGCTAAGACGGAGCATGTGTTAGATATAAATGAATATGTTAAGATCATGTTATTCTCGTGTTTCCAGACGAAAATCCAGCTGTGACCTGGGATCCTTTTTGAGGGCAAAACATCATTAAAACAGCACGGAGTAAAACTTACATGTACGATTTTGTATGCTGCAATTTTTGTTATTTGCTTCATAAATTTATGCCAAATATGTCTCAAGTTTACAGCTTGTCTTAAGAGAGCACTTTATGTAAATCTCAGAGAAAAGTCTATTAAGAAATGACTTTATAGCTCCACAAAATGAGTAAAAAGCTGAAGGGAAACCATCTTTTGTGCACAACTGAATGCTCAGCACGTGAACCATTAAGACTGTGGATCCTGGCAATTAAACTGACAACATTTCACTTGAAGATTATTACATAAAACTTTGAGAATTAATTTGTCATGAAGTTTGAATGTTTAACCCTTGAATACCCCTGAATTAGATTCTGGATGACGTATGAAGTAAGGAAAACATTTACCAATTGGAAGGAGCTGATGTTCATACAGTAGTTGACTGGTTCACCTTTAATTCTAATGCTCAACCAAAGGGAAACAACATGCATGTGAATACTGATGTAAAACAAACATTAAGATGAGGTGGATGAGTACATGCCTAACAGATATATCAGTAAAACATTAATACAAGATCACATGTTATCATGTTATGTTGTCCGAGGTTGTTTAATCTGTGTTACGCTGACTGGCTGTAACTTCCTCTTCTTCTGAAATACAGAAGTCTGATATGTTTTATGTATGGAGCTGTTCCAAAATCAACTTTTGCTTACCAAAATGCTAATGTAGGACCCCTGGCAATCTTTTAAAGTTTAAAGTTTTAAGCAGCTCAACAGTCGTCTCTTCCACCATTTTACTGTAACAAAAACCAAGATAAAAGGGACCTACATTGTTGCACTGAGCATGGGTGGTGACGCAACATTTAAAGGAATAGTCTGACATTTTGGGACATGCGCTTATTTGTTTCTTTGCCAAGAGTTAGACAAGAAGAACAATACCGCTCCGATGTCTGCTCATTAAATAGCAAACTGTTAGCTTAGCTTAGCATAACAACTGTGAAAGAAGAGGCTCTAGGAAGTCACTGCTCTACGAAATAGTCCGGCACGTAGAAAAAACACAACTTTGGCTGTTAATTAGTAAGCTGCAGAGGTGTGGGTTGGTGTATTTTTTACCATTGGCTAGCTATTTCTCCTGCTTTGCTTCATATTTAACTGACAGATGTGGGAGTAGTATCAATCTTCATCATTTGCTAACTCATGGCAAAAAAACCCTTTCCTTTGAGATAGCACCGGGGTCACAGCGATTGTGCAACAGTGTGCGTGGTCTAAAATGAGTTTCGCTGACATTTCAATACAAATAAATCAATATAAACACCTTGACAACAGCATTCAGGGTATTACATGATTACACATGGTCTGAACAAATATTAGTGATCTGAATCACTTAAAACTGAAAAGACATGAATTCAAATTAAATGGGTACAAAATCAAAAGGTGCAAAAACATGAACAGCATGCATCATGGTATGACTACAATAAGAAGCTGACAAGGAAAATAGCATACAGTACTCGTGCTACAGCGGTGAGAAGCGAGACGTTACCTAAGTTGTTGCTGAAGCTTCAATGAGCTGTGAACAATATAAACAACCAAGCCATTGATGATGAGCTTTAAAAGTTGAACAGAAATGTTTGTTATGTTTTATTAGACACATGACTCGCATAAAGGGATAAAGCACTTAGCCTGCTTACCTGTTAAATGGGAATGTGTCAACAACTGCATGCAAATCAAGATCATTTGAACATAATCCAAAAGTTATTTGCTAAATCTGTGTCCTCTGTTGGCAAGTTCTAATGGACAATTTTGACTTTTGTAGGTCATAGAAAGCTCATGAAGAGGATAACCCTGATGCACCCTCCTGTTGGTTAACAATTTATTCCGTTCTATTTTTCACCCTTACCTCTACGTCAATCTCCGGCTGTATGATGACCGGGCAGACAGCGGTTGGCCTGACAAGTCCTGACTTGGAGGTCCCTGCTTCTTCTGCTGATGTAAAATAGATAATTACACTGTGAGAGTCTGATTAGTCTGAATAGAGACAAAAGCAATTATTATTTATTATTATAATTGCCATTTATTGTTGTTATTTTTACTACTTCTTGCTACTGATGTCATTCCATTCGCTACTTTTGTGCCATTCACTTTAATTTGTGCAGCACTTAGGTCAGCTTTGGTTGTTTTTAAACTTGCTTTGTAGATAAACTTGACTCGACTTATTTAATCATCATTTTTTATCTACAGTAGATAAGCAATTAAAGGGGCACTCCACACAGGAATACATTTGTGTAATGTCTTCTGTGCCCCAGGTCAGATCTTTCTAAAATTTGGAAAAATAATACTCCTGATGAACTCATCCAGGTCATCCCAGATTTAAGACTTTGATCACAGAAAGGCTGCAGTACGTACTGGAGTCTGTGGGGTTAGAAAGAAGCAGGAGAAGAAGAAGAAGAGAGAAGTCTTATGAAAGACACTACTGAGCTACACTGTGGGAAATGTAGGATGTAGCATTTCTGAAGCTGGATTATACTGTCAGTACATCTCAGAATCTGTTGCATCCGTTTCTACCTGTCATTTTTTAATCTGTCTCTTGTGAATACGCCACTTTTATGGATGTGTAATACTTGCACTTGAGTGCTGCTTTAAGTAAACTCATTCATTCTTTATCCTGTGTGATAACCAGCATTTATAATTAGCCTTTATATTCATGCTTAATTATGTCTTCTTTTTCTAAGATAGTGAATCAGTCAATAGTGATAACAGCTGTCATACTATTCACACTGTACCTTCTTCCTTTTCTTGCTCATCCTCTGAATCAAAATCATCATTCATACTGAAAGAAAAGAGAGACATTTGGGTTATAAAACAACAGAAAAACAAGACAAAACTATTCAGTAGTACACTCTTTAAAACAGACAGCCAAATGTCATACAGATATTTTTTTTCTACTGTAGTTTCTCATACATGCTTGGAAAGCTAAGCTATATTCAAATTGTTGCAATCTACAAGATGACCGCCAGATGCCACTAAATCCTGCACACTAGTCCATTAAGACTAATTTTGGGCTATAACGTCAGCTTCTGAATCAGCTGACAAATACCAAGGCAATGTCTGAAAAAGGAAGGACACCAATTTGGATCCCGAGATTGACTATTAAAATAATATTTAATGTGTAGAAAAACGTACTTAAGGTACATTTAAAATGGCAGAAGGAGGAGTTCATACACCATCATCAACACCTGTTCTGGATAATTAGGCGTAATATTTGCTGACGCAGTTCAGCTGGTACTGTGCTGAATTGGCTATTTTAATTGAACGTGGCTGAGTATCTCTTCGTACTGTTGTACATTTTGGACAGTTGTGTTTCTGAGCTGCTTAACCAGAGAGTGTTTTAAAGCCAAAAACCTCAGCGATGACCCATCTCATTATACTTTTTGTTAAAATAGATGGCAAGGTGGGAAATTAACTGAGTGAGATCATTTGGACTGAGGATGAGGGTCACTGAAAAGTGCAAGGATAATATAAGCCAGCAGAGGTCATATTTCTACATTGAAGTTGATGTATCAAATGTAATTGGGGTGAGACAGTAATTATTGGAGGAAACATTGGACTATTTCAGCTAAATGTATATATTTGGATATTCTCAATTACATATAATCCACGTCCCATGTCAGGTGGTTACATCAGATAAATATTTATAAACTTATGAGAGAGCTGATCATTGAATCATCTGCAAAACAATGAGGCAGAAATGTTTTCTATAAGAAGGCACTTGAGGCAGGGTGGGTGGGGTGCAACATTGCCAAGAGTCCTGCAGAGGATGCCAAATTAAATAAAGGTCAAGAAGTGTGATGGGCATGTGACAGGAGCTGCACAAATAGAGTTGGGATAACCTGGCAGGATGTTCATACTCCTTGTGCTTATTGCGCTACCAGTTTTATATCAGCTGGGCTGATTTAAAATCTGATAGAGATCCGACAAAGATCTTTGCATTATACATGCCGTGTGATGTGAAGTCGTCGATTGCTAAGCTCTGCGCACCCAGTTTATTTTAAGTTATCAGGCTCTATTATGACAAGAAAATCATCCTATCATCATATCTTCAACTATAATTACAAACATGAACTTACTGACTTCCGAAAGGAGCAGACATAAAACATTTCAGTATGCATTTTGAAGGTTGAAATGTCATGGTTGACATAGCATTCAATGCGGCCCGGGACACATTGCGTTCACACAGCTAAAAGAATGTGGTCACATGCGGCCCAGAATGTGGTCTGAGCGATCGTATCTCAGGGTGTCCTCAGTGCATCTTGGGTACATTCACACCTGTACTAAGACCTGTCCACTTGTGATTGGATCACCCAGGGTGCATGTTAATAAAAGGTCTAAACTGGGCCTTACTGTGACCCAGGACACTCAAGCACATGTCTGGTCCAAACCCTTAGAAAAATCGAGATCCTGAGTCCAAAAGTGTCAAAAGAAAACATTGCGTGAGCAGCCTGTAGATCTGTGCAAGATCTAAGATTTTTTTTTTTTTCATTCTGCTAGCCCTAATCGAGCCTTATCTGAGCCTATCCATTTGGCCGGGTTATGTTGCAAAACTTTACACTGACTAAGCAGCAAGTTGATGCAAAAAAAAAAGATTAAAGACTGAGGTGAAACACAGCAACCTTATCATTTGGCGATCATGGAGGCATTGAAATAGAAAAACAGCATCGTTCCTGCTCTAGTCTCACTACTCACTATCTGCTGTATTGCCTTAATGTTTAATATCTATATTTACCTAAGGTGGATACACTTCAGTTAAATATAAACTAAAGCAGAAGTAGGCTTTCCTCAAACCTACTGCATGTGTACTTGATATTAACATACAGTAAGGATGTAGTAAGCAGTAAGTAACCACCATACGTCTAGACTTGTTTCATAGTAACCTTCCCTCCCTCTGACCGTCTTGTTAAAGTGTTAAAATCCAATTATCAGCGAACTTCAAAGCACCTAATGAATCTATAATGGTTGCTATGGTGGGGGTGCTGGTACAGTTTCTACTCCCCAAACTCCTCCTTTTCAATCAGTGACTCATCCATCCCTAACAACCCATCTGGCCCTGTCCTACTTCTAAATAGCTACAGCGGAGAAGACCTACATGACAGCTACATCAGTTTATACCCTGTTTTCTCCTTTTATGGATGCTTATAAGCTAGGGGGATCTTTCCTGCTGTCTTCTGTCTCCGTCCCTGTGCACTTGTGAGATTCATCATACACTTTCATGTTGCTGTAACAATAAAACAGGCATTTAAATCTTCCTCTCTGGGATTAGTTGACTTTCATGGAGTAAAAAAGTGGGGAAGAAAGGGTTTGTGTGCCAGTCTCCCAACTGCATGGGGCAAAGAAGCCAATCTGCTCCATTGAAATTGCTCTGCTCCCCTATGACTCTGATAGAAAAGGTCAGAGGTAAATTTAATGCGGGGAAACGTCAGGCCTGAAAACGACACCTGCCCTTTGCCTATTTTGATCGCCCGCACACACCACTGGATGATTGGCATTCTGAAGGGGGTGTGTACTCTCTCCAAAACTCGTTCTATCCGTCACTGCAGAGGGAAGAGTGTAAAGAGCAAAACCAGCCATAAACAAACTCTATGAAGACTTGCTTTGATACTCACACATGAGCTCTCCCTGTGGAACAAACAGTGGGTCTGTGGTTATTAACATCCTGATTTAACTTAAGATTTGACTTCTTATTATGCTGAATGCAGTCTCCGGGCAGAACTACTGAATAAAGCTGAATGCCCGTTGCACAAAACCTCAAAGGGAATTAGTAGGCAACTGGAGCTCTGCAGCTGTTGCACAACCCCACTGTTTGGTGCTTTTGTGACTTTGTTTACATCTCTCTCTTTTTATGGTTTGATGGCTAATATGAAACCTGTGCAGAGGTTAGGCTTACATGGGTCTGAAAGCTTTTATTATTCAGACGTTAGTGTGCCTTTGAGCTTTTTCAGGTTTAGAAGGTTGGACACCTTCAAGCAGATTGAGTCTTACTACGAACAGTAAGCAGATCATCTGCATAGGTCAGAGGTCAAAGGACTTCCAGGCCAAAATATTGCACATATGACCTGTTACATTTGTGTCCTTTGGTCTAGCTGTGTCTGACACATGAAAGCACACGTGACCGGAGATTTACCTGTAATCTTTTGGAGGTTTCAGGATACCTCTCTTTTGCTGCATGTCGATGTTTGTTTGAGCTGAAGCATCTTCATAGGACAGGAGCAGAGTTACCACATAATTCATAGAGGAGTTATTAGCCCAATAATCGCCATCTGGGGTTTCATAGCGAACAACAAATTCAATGCGGGAGCCGTGTGTCATATAAGGGGGTGCAAAAGACAGCTTGAAGGTGAACTGATCAGTGTCCCCATCATTTGATCCCTGGACATAATCTGCTGGGTGATCAAAGTAAGAAGCCCAGTTGTCCATGGTCGATCTGATATAAACTGCTTTGTGGAAGGAGATGTTCAGGACTCGTATTACCCCACTGAAGGCAAGTGGCTCATTCTCTACTGGAGACATCTGCTCAACCTCCACTTTATTAGTGTGCACAGCCTGCAGCAGGGCACTGTCGCTGGGCGCGTTAAACTCTGGCTGCACACGATAGGTCGGTTCTCGCTCTGGCTTTCGATACTTTGCTTCCTCTTCCTCCCACCTCGTACTGTTCTCCTCTTCCTCGTCCGAATCAAAGGCAACGAATTCCTTCACATCCACCAGATCCCCACCTGTTGTATCGGCGAATGACACTCTCTTTCCGGCAGACAGCGCCAAGTGGATCCGCATATACTCAGCAGTCTCATCGTAGATGGACGCACCTCGCTTTCTGGGTACCGGGGAGCATCTTGGGATGAGGTGGACGTCGGTGTCATCGTCTTCATCATCATCATCATTATTATCCTCGTCGTCTATGCGTGACCTACTATCTGCCTCCTCGCCTGCCTTGCCAGTTTTAATCGTGGTAAAAAGGCCCTCTTGGCTTGGTATGGTTAAAAAAGACATTTTTGCCGAGGTGTGCACTCATGGAAGCTTTGCGCTGAACAGTAGGCTACATATGGCGTCTCAAAAAACAAAAAAAAAACACTACCAAATACACATGATTTGCGCAGCAGTGGCCGGTGTAGATCCAGCGCTGTCTCTGCGTTACGCACAGAGCCTCCTCAGTCAACGTGTGGCGTTAAATGTCACCCATGGAAAACGTGTCTTTACTGCCAGCCCTTGTGATAGTGTATCCCCTGGTTTACATGGCTTTATGCATCGCAATTTGGCTGCTGTCGCGGAAGGAGCAGCCTCTAATTATAGCACTGACCTACCGGGTTCTCCATGCCCCAAATGTGTCTTTTAAGTTGGTATAATCCTGCGACTCCCCCTTGTTCCGTTTGGTTCGGGCTGGCTAAACGCCCACTACTGGAAATGGGATATTAAAGTAATATCATATCGGCCATACTAAGGTATGGCACAGTTTTTAAACTGATGTATAGGCAGCATGAGTGTATTAAAAGGTGGGAATTATTTCAGGATGGAGTCTATTACATCACCATGGTTAAATGTCCTAAAAGGAAATTCATTTTATTTCTATCGTATGCATATCTATGTTACAACAAACAACCCCTGCTGCAAACCAAGGCTATGATTAATAATTTACTTTAGTTTTTAGTGCACTTTTAATACTGTGGTTGTTAGATAATCCCACACATGTGGCCTCCTACAATTTACCTTTTTTTGGGGGGTAGACCAAATTAATAGGAAATAGTTTTATTGCCAGAGGTCTATTAGGACCTAACCTCATCCTGAGGTTTCTGCCCAAGAACTAAGTGCTGAAATAACATTTCACAAGTTCATTTAATGGCACTACCAAAAAAAAAAAAGTAATTTAAGCACTTCACTAAAGATATATAAGCCTATATATAATATAATATATAACCACTTCAAGGAGGAAAAAACAACCAAGCTGTATAAACCTGATTAGGGACCTATTATGGGCTCAGTTTGTGCTTCTGTTAGAGTCCACTGAATTGTTTACATCTGGTTTGACACACGTGATTAATTACAAACGTTCCTACATTTTAATATCACATGCTCAGAGGTCAATCTAAAAGTACTAATGACATTATTTTATGTATAGCAGATTATAATAAAAACCATATTTCACATTAATTGACGTTAGATCTCACGACAACCGTCAACCGTTCGCGGCTGCGCAGTACGACCCCTGCTACAGATAGATTACCGTGTAAACACACCCTTGTAGCTGATTGGCTGAGAGGTTTTAGCGCGGCGTGCCGTAGCCAATCAGAGGATTGTTTTTCTGTCACGTCGGTGCGAGGATAGTAAGCTAACGGGTAATGCAAACATAAACTAATATAAATAACGCGGATTGACGCGTAAGGCGATACAGCACGGGAAGGTTTGATTGTTTGGACCCAGTCCTGCTTGTTGGACTTTTTGTTGGTGAAGATGTGGCGCAGCCGTCAGTGCGAGGACACACGGATCGGGTAACGTCAGCTAACTGCCGTTAGCAGTAGCCCGCTAATTTTTTTAGCGGAACGCAAAGGCCGCGGAGAAACACAAGATCTGCTTCCTCTTCCAGCTCCATTGAGAATGTAGGTTACCTTACGAGTTGCAAAATCACAACGGTCGTCTAAAGTAGTTCAGTGGCGCAGTCGATCGCGTTTGAGTTTGTTTTTGTCGCGCTTGCGGGCTCCCTGGCTTGGTAGCTGTTTGGCTGGCTAGCTAGCATGAGTGAACTGACGGGCTGCCAGCAGTCCGCTGACTCTGCATCGAGGAAACGGTGTCCATCACCGGACCGCGATGAGGCCAGCACGATCCCCAGCAAGTCCAGGAAAGTAAGCGACGCGTCAAATGAGGCGGGTGTTACTTCGGAAAGTTGCAAACACAGTGAAGCTGAGAGTAAAGAAGGAGCTGGGAGCGTGGGCCAGTCGACAGATGGGGAGAAAGACCCAGCTGCAGTGCAAACGGATCCGGGTTCAGACAGCACGGAGGGCACCAGTACACTACCTGTCAACAACTCCAGTGCTGACGGTCGTGATGCCAGCAACGCCGACAAACCACAGTCCTCAGATGCGTCGGGATCTGCTGACACAAAGGAAGGCACAGAGAAGACAGTGGGGACAAAGCTGCGTCCCTCAACTCCTCTGGACCAGTCCGACTCAGCAGCCATAGCAGCTGCTGAAGCACTTGCCAGTCTCACAGGAGGAGACGGGGAAGACAGTCAAGAGACTCCTTGCTCTTCTGAAAAGGTTAAACAGGTGAAACCGGGGAGCAAATTCAAACAACGCGGGGGCCACCAGTCTTCCAGAGCCGGCTCGAAAACACAGGCAGCTGCTGCGGATAGCTCCACATCTGTGCATAGTACTGACAAAGAAGATGCAGATGATATGCCAGAAGCAGACGAAGGCGATGAATCCATGTCTGGATCATCCTCCACTCCGAGCTCCTCTTTCCCGTCAGACAATGAGGACAATGACGATGGGGAGTGTGCCATCGTGTCAGTTAAGATGGCCCCGGAGATGAGGCAGTCGGTGGCCCTCCTGGCGCAGGTACAAATGAGACTGGAAGCTCTGGAGAAGAAAAGCGCCCGGCTTCACCAACGGCTGGACCTGAAGATTGGTCGTCAGCGGCGCCCACATCTGGATCAGCGCAGCTCCATCGCGAAGACTATCCCCGGCTTCTGGGTGACAGCTGTATCCTTTTTTTAAAATGCAAAAATGTCTCCATTCCTGTGTTGTGTTTGAGTAACTGAAATAAGCACTTATTTTTTTCTTTAACTTTTGATGTGCCAGCTGTTGAACCATCCTCATCTCTCAGCTCACATTGACGAGACTGATGAAGATGCTCTTAGTTACATGACAGATCTCGAGGTAGGAAGAGTTGGTGTGTGTGTGTGTGTTCTTACAAAAGCCTGGCTCTGGTTTTATTCGCCTTGTAGCATCATTGAGACATTCCCTCATGTATTTTTCAGATCGAGTCCTTCAAGAATAATAAACTAGGCTATAGGATCCGTTTCCACTTCAGACGGAACCCGTACTTCCAGAACAACATCATCATGAAAGAGCTGCACCTCGGGTTGAGAGGTAAAAAAAAAAAAAAAAAGTATGTGGTGATTGAGTCGAGGCGTAGTTGTCATACAAGTGTCTCAGTCAGAAAATGGCAAACCAATCTGAACATTACAAACATTACATTTCAACCAGGAGACATTCATACAGTCATACTTTGGAATAAAAAGACATAGCAACACATTCTCTGGAACAACTGCCAATAAAGTGCTGAAAGTAACGAGTACATAGCCACAAAACCACAGACGAAAGTTCAACAGACTTGTGAACTTCACACCCGCAATAACCGAACACTGCTGCCGCCCAGTTGAAGTGTGACGCTATTGTAGTTGTTTGTTTTCTCTTATACAAGGATACATGGTTATTTTATTGTTCATTTTACAAGGCAGGGTTGTATAATGACATTTAGGTTGGGAAATGGAAAGGTAAATGTACACAGAAACTCAAGTCAAAGTCAACAAGTCATAGAAATAAATAGAAAAAAACTTTTATATAATAGAGTGCTGAGGATGAATTAAACAGTCTCACAGCCTGAAGGAAGAAACTCCTTATTTTAAAGTATATAAATATAGATGGTCAGACTATAACACTTCTGAAAACAATGCAATACAACACCTGAACAAATGATTGCCTCAAAATCTTCTATAGATAATAGGTCTGACAGTTGCAGCCAAAATATTGTATTTCCCAAATTTGACTGGGGCAGGGCTGTGAATTAGCTGTTGTTGTACCATTGGAAAAGTTCATCACACAAACGTCATGTCAAGCAGCTATTTGTAATATAAAACAGAGGTTTGTTTTATATTTTGAGTGGTTCAAAGAAATCTTCATCTACCAAAGTGACTGAGCGTTCTCCGATTGTACGTAACATCTAAAGCTCAGTATTGATCGTATTTTGAGGCTACCTAAAATTTACATGAATATCAAACTCTGGATCACCTTCTAACGCTGGCTGCTCATGTTTCAGGGTCTCCCATGTCATTCTCCAACCCCATCCTGTGGCATCGTGGACAGAACCTGACGGCCCACAGCGAACCCAGGAAGTCGTCGCGTGGGGTCTACCAGACCTTTTTCAGCTGGTTCAGTGACCATAGCAACCCAGGGCAAGATGATGTAGCACAGGTACTGCTGATTGCATCTTCATACTGACAGACGGTTCATGATAGTAGCACAGAGAGATCATTAAAGGGAAACGTTGGTATTTTTTAACCTGCACCCTATTTTGCCATTTTTTTGTGTGTCTAAGTGACTAATGGGGATAACAATTATTTTTCAATTGGTCCAGTACTTAACAACCGGCAGCTGTGAAAAGGGTTGCAGTGTAATCCTGGGCAATTGCACACCATCATTGTATGTCCACTTGTTGTTCCCACTGACTCAGATTGTTAGAAGTGTCTGACAACATTAAGAAAGGACCCTACAGAGATGCACCTAAGATCAATTTTGTTTAACCAGAAACAGCCGATGTGTCGCTCTGTTTAAAGTCACCAGACAAAAACAGTGATTTTCCTTGGCAGAGCGCAGGAGTTCTTTGTCTACCGCTGCCTCGATTAGGTAGTTTGTTTGTGTTATTGCGAGACTTTGTTGATTTAACACGTCAGGTCAAACCTGCTGGCTGCAGCACTCTCGCTCAATAACTGCACCAATTTCAAAAATTGTTGTCTCCATTAGTAACAAGAAAATACGGTCCAGGTTGTAGAATACTGAAGTTTCCCTTTTTAAGATGGCATGGAATAAACCTTTTTGAAGATTTGACCCATTTTTTAAAAAGGGAAACTGCTGTGGTGACTCAGAACAGCGAGCCTGCATCTGTTTTTCAGTGTTATAATAATTCTGTAATATTTTATCCCAGCAGACAACCAATAATCATAACATAATAATAACTATGTGCCAGTTGTGTGGTCTGAATGATTTAACAAAATGCCATTTATTCTTCATTTATTCAACTTTCTTGCCAGTTTACGATTAACTAAAATAATTAAGGGATATGCATACATTCAGATTTCTGCCATCAGAAAAAATAAGTGATTTTTGAACTGATCAATGATGACACCATTGTCTCAAATAAGCAGGACTGTGTGTTGTGTATTTAAACATTTTAAAGAGCACACAGATCTAAACATATTGAATTGAAATGTATTGAAATGACCTGATGATCTGTGCTGGTGTTTAGATACTTAAGGACGATCTGTACAGAGACCCTCTGAGATACTACCTCACTCCACTCTGGGAACCGCGGGAGAACGGCAGGTAAAAACACATGTGTATTCAACCCACAGATGCATACAGTGTAACGTGTAGTCAGTGGGCAAACCACTTATTAAGCTATAAATTCTAGAAATATCCTCAGCCCCAGGGCCTTGAAATTATAGTTCATGTGTTTAACAGTTTCCGGAATTTATTATCTTTTTTTTGTTGAGACCAGGTGGGATGCATACCGACTGTGCACTGTTAACATAAAAGTACGTGTGTGTGTGTCTGTCTGTGTGTGTCTGTCTGTGTGTCTGTCTGTGTGTGTGTCTGTGTGTGTCTGTGTGTCTGTGTGTCTTTTCACCAGTGGCGGCAGCGGGGCCAGAGCAGCTGACAACGGTAACGGAGATGATTGTGTGGTGATCTCCGACTCAGACGACGAGCCCGGTGAGGAAGCAGCCGAAGCTGAACAAGGCCACAGTAGGGAGGAGGAAGAGGAGGAGGATGAAGAAGAGGAGGAGGAAGAAGAGGAAGAGGAGGAGGAGGAGAGGGGGCCAAGCGCTGGTCAGTGTTAAAGTAGAACTTTAAAGACAGCTAAAATCCCACCGGTCCACACGGCTGGTCAGACCACAGCGACCAGTTATTTATAAATAGTCATGCAGATACACTTTTCACATTAAATTAGATTTTTAAAAAAAATTATTTGTATGTTTTAATTTTTAGCATATTTTAGGAAAGGATGTCAGCGGATTGCTGTTGTAAAATGATTCTGTGTTTTGAAATCCACAGTGCTTGCTGTTGTTCATGTTGTGAGTGAGAGGCCAAGGGCTTGTTAGCATCAAGTTCACTGGCTTGTGTTATAGCTGTAATAGAAACGTCTGGGTAATACAGGCTAAACTGAATAGACAGGAAATATCTCCTCCTCAGATGAGAGCCCAGAGGAGGAGGATGATGGTGGAGAAATTGTGATTGACGGTAAGACACCACTCTTAACAGCAGCGTTGCAATTTCACCCACTACCACAACAAACAATCAGTGTGGGGAAAGTGGGGCGGGGTCGGGAATCTATTGGGTGGAGGTTCATCTAGTTTTTCATACTTCCTACTTTTGCCGCTTTTTATTTTACAATCTGGCTGAGCATTAATGCTTAATTGTGTTTTTTGGGGTGTAATTACAATCATATTTCATATCAGCATGGATCCCTTGAAATTATAACTGTCTTTTGTCCCGTAGGCTCTGATGACAGTGAGCAGGAAGAGGAGGATGCCTGAAAAGAAGTAAAGAGGAAGACATGGTGTATGTCGATGAAGACCAGTCATCGAGGGACCAGAAACCAGGAAGATGAAGTGGATGCCTAGGTCGGGGCGAAGAGTACCAGAGCAATTTATTGTCATTTTATGCACAGAATATCAGTTTTTGTTGTTTTATACCTAAAAATACATAGAAACATTTAAAAATCAGGGTTAACTATAATAATAAAGCCAAGGCAGCATGTTTTCCCTCTATTTTATACAGTCGGTACTGTGTATTCTGATGTTCTCTAATTCACTTTTTGCAAAATGTTTTTTTCTAAACCAGTTCATACAAAGTAGTGTTCCTCCATTTAATGAGGAACGTCATACGACGGCCTACACGCGTGTCGGTGAGATTCTGACTCCCGCTACTTGTCGGCATTAAAATCCGCATTGCAAATTCTTCAAACGTATACTGCAGAAAACCTACAGTGGCATTATTAGTGGTCATTTCAAGGCAAAGTTTTGGCTTTTTCTTTTCTTTCTTTTTTTTAAGAATTGACGTGACAAGACAAACATGTCAGAAGCTAAATTGATATCATCACAGTACATTTCAGATGCACTCAGTACTGAACCAAAATTTGTTCTCAGGGATGATCATGGTGGTAGTTTTATTGAAAGAACATTACTGATTTTCAGACATTTTCACTCTCTGGTTATTGTTGGCTGTGTATAAGGAAACGTGTACTCTACTGTAGTAAATAGGAACAAATATTGTTTTAATATGCTACCTGTGTTTCTCCTTCTTCATCTATATGTTCAGTCTTGTTGCACACCAACGTCCACCCCTGTAACGATCTGTAAACCATCTCTGATGTTTAAAATCATGGTGTAGTTTGACCAGTGTTTCTGTGGATTCCTACATTTTTGTAACACACTCCTACAATAAGTAGCTGAGTTTTGTACTTTCTTTTCTTTAGATTTTAACTTAATTTGCTTTCTAAAACATTTAAGATTTCTTTTCATGTAATGTGTTTTAAGATTTGTGTTATCTTCTTTTTTGAAAAGATGATATTTATTATTGTTTTTCTACATGTCCAGATCATGGCACGCCTGCGAGCATGAAATGTAAGACAGGATGATTACATTACTTACAAGGCTTTTTCTGTGCACAGTGTCAGTAAATGTTAAAATTCACAGCAACATTATGGGGTGAACTGTAACAAAATTAGTATTTGTATTTGCTTACTTTTCTTAGCAATGACTTGTAAATAATATTTCAGCATTGTCTTTTGGATAAGACAAGTACACGTGTTTGATCCATGGATGAATTTATCAAATAATCTGGAGTTTTTTCCTAAACATGATCAGAAAGTTATATTTTGTGTGCTGTGTTTTATAGAACACTGTAGTTTAAAGATACCTTCTTGTTTGTTGCTTTGGTTCATTTTGTTTGCTTAAAGATAAATGTCCACCTTTTGACTCAGACCTAATAAAATAGGCAGTTGTTTCACTTTGCCGTCTGTTGTGGTTTACATACACAGTCAAATTCTACAACAAAACTACATTTATTAGTATTTTCTGCACACTCCGAACTGGAGTTTGTGCATAATAGAACCACAAGATGGCAGTGTGGTTCAGATTATCCTCACATCTGTTACACTTAATTTTGGTTGTGGGTAAATAAAGTATATCAATTAGCACTTTGATGCCAGTATTTAAGCCTTTAGATGTGCATAAGTGGTAAATAGTTCAATCTTGCTTTCACTCAACCGTCTCAAGTCCTAAAAACCCCTAATAAAGCTTCCACGTGTGACTTATTTATATGAAACTCACCTCCCTGATATGCTTGGCTGCAACATGTTCTTCTTGAAGAGAAGAATCAAACAAAACCCACTGAGATACAGCTGTTCTTTAATGTATTCCATCTTTGATGTGACGGCAGTGTGTGATATCTGACATTTTGAATGTAGCACTGCAAATAGCCCCGGGCAAGACATTTTTGGACAGGCCCAGACAAAGGAGCAGCAGCGGTGTTGCAATGGTACACTTAAACCCTTGATTCCACTTTTAATGCACAGCTATAAATATTCCACCGGCAAAAACCTGTCCTGCTGTAGGCCCAGCAGCACCCAGGGTATGCAGCCTAGGAGGGCATATACTATTAATACTGATGATGGAAACACGTTATACCCCATGAAATGATCCCATGTGAAACACAGTGTTTGCCTCCTCTTTGAAGCAGCTTTATTCAGCCCCCCTCGGAGCACAACATGTTTTTATGACTATGAATTAATAATGTGGTTGGTTCCTACAATATTGATCGTGACAAACTAAGTACAGATTGCTGGGACAACAAAGCCATCCTCGGGCTGCTTTGTGGTCTGAGGGTTGTCTGTGAAGCCTTTGTTATGTGTAGGGTGGCAAAGGCCTAAATGGATTCTCCAGTGTAAACTACACTCCCCTGGGTTGAGCCGGTGTTGCTACTGTACACAAATCATCTTGTCATGCTGCTTCATGTTCTCACGTTTCACAAAGTAGTTCGGCGGAATCTGTTACTCAGACTGATTCACTGTAGACCGAAAAATGAAAAGATAACACACAGCGGCTCATTCTTCATCTGTGTGATTGATGCTGAGAAGGATATTTTCTCCTGCGAAGTGTACAAGAAAAGGGCTTGTGGTGCTCTCTGAGGCACATCTATAGTGAGTAATCTGATAGGTTGAGGTAAGGCCCCTGAATACCAACTACCTGTGCGTGTGTGTGTTTCTGCACATACACGCACCTAGGCTTGTTTGTGAAAGCTTGCATTCTTTTATGCACTTCCATGCATGCATGCATATTTGCAGAAGCCACACGTCACCTGCATACTTACAGGTTTTCAACAGCCCGGTGCACGTATGCATGATTGTCTGCTTGTCAGCTAATCAAGATAAAGCACAGTATTTGAACTGTGCAGAGGGAAAAACAGAGAGGGATAAAGAAAAAAATAGAGAATAGAGTGAGTATGATTGAGGGAAATGGATGAGTGCAGTGATAAGCGGAGCTGCCTGGGCCCTGACAGATACACACAGCAGATGGATGACTCTTATCTGGGAGATCACAGAGTGCATACTCACGCCTAGGCCCAGTTACAGAGAGCCACGATCACACCAGACAGATGAATAGGCCTACCCCCCACCAATCGCATTGCACATACAGTACACACACGCATGCAAAGTGCACGCGCACACCTACACACACAACCACTTGACAGAATGAACAGATTGCAGCGCTTGCGTTACCTTCGTGTCTTTGACATTGAAATTCACCTGGAGTCCGGTGTGTCTCAAGGATGTGCGCGAAGGGAGGAGAAAGGAAGGGTGCAGAGAGAGATAAGACAAATCGTTTTCATTTTAATTGAAGCAGCAGAGCAAATGCATGTGTGTGTGTGTGTGTATGTTTGCATCCTATGTCTATATGCACACACCCTATACATGTATGTTGGTGTACAGATTTGTCTGCCAAAGAGAGAGCCACATGCCCTCTGTTCTCACTTTTTTTTCCAGAATGACAATTTTTTTCACTGAATCTCTGAGCGCAGACCAAGAGGTTAAGACGGAGCTGAAGTCACACACACTCAAAACAAAAAAACAGTTTTGCACTTAACCGTTAAGCAGCTATTACCAAAGGCTTCTGCAAGAGTGCTGACAGATTTACCTTTTAAGACACAAGCACTGTACTTTCTCTCATCCTCCTCACATCCTCACTATCCTCCTTTTCATGTACAGTAACCCTCCCTCCCCTCTCTCTCACACACACACACACACACACACACACACAAACACCCCTTGTTATTTGGAAAGAGCTCTTCTTCGACAGCTGTTGATTCTCCCAGCTGCATTTTATAGCAAGGGAGAGTGCCAGTCTTGTCTTCAAGGCAGATGGTGGCTGGCTGGCTGGCTGGCCGGCCCTGTGGACACGTGGCATGTTGGACGACTGCAGACGGATGCTCCATCTCTGGGAGGCTTCAGCTACAGAATGCCTGTACAGTGTTCTCTGTAAAAACCTGCAATCACCTTACAGTGCGAGGCGAGCAGGCTGCGACTGGAATGTGCGCCACGTATGCGCCCTTCATGTCAAAGATGTTTTCCAAAGTAGCTCTCCTTTGATAACCATTGATGTGTGAAGTTCATGGATGTCACACAGCACCTGTTCCCTTTATCTTGCATTTGGGTGTTTACATTTTTTTCTGACCTGTAAGATAATAATTAGAAGACTTGTACAGCCATGTGGGAAGTGTTGTGGTTGAAAATAGAGCAAATAATCCTGAAGAGTATTGCACCATTATTTTCTCTAACCCTATAATTTCCTCTCAGGGTCATAGTCTTTTCCCAGCATGCATTGGTGATCCTCTCGACTTGCCTTTCTATAGCAGGCATGTTCAAACACTCTTCAATTCATCAATATACTCTAGGAAAGACCATCAGTAGGTCAAAATAATGGGTTGTTTTTCCTCGAGGGGACAATATTCAGCCCCTAGAATATCATGATTGATGTGTCTGAGGGACTGATATTTATCTGGAGCCTTTGGCCTACAGGGATAAATGTCTACCTCGCGTTTCACACTACCTATCCATTAGATGAGAAGATCCTTTTTGTCGACCAGAAAAAACAGACCCAGTGTTTGTTTTCTAATCCATGCTGTCTGTCCCCATGATACAAAATCCATCTATCATGTTTGGAGGTAACAGGCCTGTTCGGGCCACTATTTCCTGCTTTTTATACACAGGACCGATACCTATTGCACCGATGAGTGAAGAGCTGTTGCTATCTGTTTAGCAAGTTGAGGCAGTGGTAGGTGCAGATAAGACAGCAGGATGGTACAGTCAGAGATGTGGATGACGTTAAGGCTTGCTTAGGAAGCGGTGGGAGCCAGTCAGTGTACCGGTGTCCATGGCCAAAGTTGAGTGCACACGGAAATCTGAACTCGGCACACACTTATGACTCATTTCCTCAGCTGGAAACAGAGGGATGCCTCCTGTGGGGCGGGAAACAAAGACTCCCTCCTGGACACATCTTGACACACCACTGCCTGTGGATCACATCTGGCTGATACCCAATTTGAGATAAGGTGCTTACACTCTCTGTCTGTGTGCCGATGAATCAAACCCCAGAATGTGCTAAAAAGATAAATTCAAAAAGTTTCGTATTAAAGCTTTGTAAGTCGTGCCAAGAACTGCCCTCCTCTGTGACCTTTTTACACACTGACAAACCACATTGCCTCATGTGTTTATTCAGTTTTACTGTCTTTGCAGAGCCGTAGCTCAGAGTACATTCAGCCTCTGCTTTTGTGTCTTGTGCGCCATACTGCGTCAGAGCTCACCACAAAGCCAGTAATGATGAGAGGCACCCTGAAAGCTGTTTTAATTTCAAGCTCAAGGCTCTGTTAACAGGATGGATGTCCTTTACGTCCAGTCCCCCCTCCCTCCTGGTTGCTTTGTCACTGTTGTCATGAGTGCTGGAGCCAGCCAGAGAGGAATCCCAGGAATCTTTTTTTCGGTTGACCTGGCTCTTATGTAGAACTGAGGAGTAACGGCGACATTGTCTAAGGAGCAGCCCTCTCCTGCTCCCTGGCTCCTCTTTAATAGTGAATTTCAGCCCCTGCATCACGTATAAGAATAGTCTGTGGCCCTCTCGGTGCATGAGAAAAACATTTATATCAAACAGCTGCTGTGTCGCCCATCACCATTTAACTGAATTATTCAGCTTTAATAAACTTTGCCAAGACAGAACTACTGAGCAGACATAGATTAATAGCAGTTTACAGTGGAGTGGGGAGGTAGTGTGTTAAACTCACCAGCAGTGACAGGGTTAATCATACCCATATGGTGTACCAAGAGGTTTGGTCCAATGCTGCTGTGGGCCAACAGGAGAGGGAAGGCTGGGTGGGGGCAGAACAGAAGGGAGAGGACAGCAGGGCAGACACTCTCCCAACACCTGCACCTGGTCACTTGATTCACGCTGAAACAGCCTCAAACTGCCTTTAAAGGATCATTTTAAAGGACCAACATCTTGTTCACATCTCGGTGATGGTTGCTGCCATCCAGGCTTAAACTTTTTTTTTTGTGGAGAGAGTGGAGCAAGCGTTCAGGGATCAGCTGTGTGTTTTTCTTTTTCTTTTTTATGTTTCATGGAAGAAATGCCGTCGGTTAATAGCAACTGATCACACAGGCAGCATTTTCTCTCTCTCTCTCTCTCTCTCTCTCTCTCTCTCTCTCCAGGGGAATTTGCAAACCTATCGGATTGTTTTATTCCTGCGCAGCGCTGCTAAGGGACATTTTCCAATCCAGCTCCGAGGCACTAAACGCGGGGAATGCAGCGGTAACATCCCGCAAGTTTTTTGGACCTCAGAGGCGTAGCGGGCACCGAGAAAGTCAGCTTTTTTCAAAGGTAAGACATTTCACTTCCCTCTGGTTTAACTTTTAACTCATGTTTGGTTACTCTGTAGCGTAGTCTAAAGGGTAGATGGCT